TTTCAATCTTATTTTAGGTATTTGATTTGAGCTTATTTGGACTCAAATTATGTCATTTTCCCCTCACTTTTTGCTTCCCAATTTTTACTTTTTTTAAAAAAGTCGTTCAATATCAAATATAACAATTTCTTATAGACAACGAAAGAGTACGATCGCACTTCATCTTCTATTTTTTCTCTTTTTGATATAAAATGTGATGGGAAGATGTTGCATTATAGAACTAATGATAGATATAATATACTTGTTTTAAAGTAATGGCATATAATAATAATAATAATAATAATAATAATAATAATCTTTGCACAAAAAATAATATAACTTATATTTATATAAGTTAGTATTTTTTTTTTAAATCAAAAACAAATTTTGCTAAAGAGCATTAGGCCCAGAGTGGAATTTGGGCATTAAAGCCCAAGTTTGGCCCAAAGATTCAAATTCTAACTTATAACAAATACTAATTCGAAATTCTAAGACTAATTTTGGGAAAGTTTGGTATGGAGAAGTTGAATCGTTTGATATATCTGCTTTAAGGAGGAGCTTAGATGACCATCATAATTTTGTTTTCAGGCTGCAATCATAATTTTTATTTGTTCGCTATATTTTTACTGTTTTTAATATTTTTTTGAGCTAGAAAAACTACTTTTTGTAGCAGCTTTGAAGTTTCGTTTGGAACGACTTTTTGTTGCTTCTTAAAACAGCCTTTTAGTAAGAAAATTAAAATTTTTATACTAAAAAGTTAATTTAAGAAGCAATTAAAAAGTCATCCCAAACAAAACCTCAAAATTATTTTCTTCACAATAATTTTGCAACCGCTTCTATAAAAAAGTTATGACTATGCCAGACATAGCCTTAGAATATTCAGTTTTTTTTTTATGAACAAAAATAGACTTGGTAAGCTGATGATATATTATTGTTGCGGGCTTGAATATGCGCGGCGGTAGAGTTTTAACTATACGTCTTAGTTTTGCATGGATATCCATCACACACATAGAGAACACAAGATTTTTTACGTGGAAAACCCTTAAAAGGCCCTTAAAAGGGGAAAAACCACGAGGCCTAGTCCAGTTGAAAATGATTCCACTAGAATTTGAGTCAGTTACAAAGGGCTGACTCGCCTCCAAGGGCGATCAGATAGTGTGCAATATCAATGGCTCTTTCCAAAAAGAAGAGGTTTAATAGATTATTTGTATGAGATTTTGAAGATTCATTAGTGCTACTTGTCGATAACAAATTGCTTTTACCAAGAAAGAAAAAATACTTTATCATATTCCGATTCCGAGAATCTCATACTTTAAAAGTTGTGCCAGGTTCTCGTGCTTTGAACTTACATGATAGCATACTAATATATGGAATTAAGAGAAAAGATTTTTCTTTGAGACAGTTTTTTTATTACTTTCTAAAGTAGCTCTTTAAAACAAAATTTTTTTATGAAATTTTTTTTTTGTATAAAAAACTGTTTTTAAAACAGTAAGTAATCAGAGGCTTAACCGGGCGTTACTTAGTTTAAATGAAATTTATCCTGCTAATTAAATTTATTGATAAATAAAACGTTCAACCAATTAAAAAAGAGTCGTTGATGATAATGGTGATTAATTAATATATTATCATAGATAAAAAGTAATAAATATAACATTATGTTAATTAATGTAATATATTTGATATGAATAAAATCACAATTATTAATCAATTATAATAAAAAAATTTGAAATAAAAGGTTGAGATTTAATTTGAATAATTAAAATAAAATATCAAGATTTGGCATGCATGGAAGAAAATTCAAGCGACTTTTATAATTGAAGTATGAGGTGTATGGAGTTTAAATGAAACCGACGGAACTATTTTACATAAATATGTTAAATGAAACCGACGGAGCATTAAAATTAATTTAGTATGAGATGCATTAAAGGAGCATTAAATAGTAGAATAATATAATTGTAATGGAGCTTTTAATTTTTAGGAATATGAAGTGTTTATGATGAACGTTGTAGATTAATTTATAATTTATAGATGAACGATCTAGATTTGCTTAGTATGAGATGTATTAAAGGAGCATTAAATAGTAGTATAATATAATTGTAATGGAGCTTTTGATTTTTAGGAATATGAAGTGTTTATACTTTATAATGAACGTTTTAGATTAATTTATAATTTATATATGAACGATCCAGATTTGCTATGGGTGGATTCCCAAGCCACACTTATATAGTAGTATAGATATATATATATGCATGTAATATTAATGTTTATATATATATATATGTAAATAGCAAGAAATAAACGGATAAGAATGTAAATCCCACAACTATAAACATATAAAGTCAACCTTTTTTCATTGCTCTCCAGCGAAGAAGCCAACTCATAGCATTAATTCACATGTTTCTGCTACCAAACGCGTTGACAGCTCTACAAGCCCACAGTTCTAAGGCTTTACGCATTCTGAAAAGAAAAAAAAAACTAATAGAACATGGGTAGGATAAGATAGATTTATCCGTCCAGCTTTCATTTGTCTGATACGTTTAAGCAGAAAGAGGGAATAGTTTAAGAGTAACCAAACTGAGAAAGATGATGGAATCCATCAGTTTCTATATGAAATTAAAATTTTGTTTGGGACGGCTTTCTTACTGCTGCTTACGTTTAAGCAGAAAGAGGGAATAGTTTAAGAGTAACCAAATTGAGAAAGATGATGGAATCCTTCAGTTTCTATATGAAATTAAAGTTTCGTTTGGGACGACTTTCTTACTGCTGCTTTAAGCAGCAGTAAGAAAGCAGTCCCAAACAAAGCCTAAGATGGCTTTCTAACTTCTTGTTAAAGTAGTTTTGTTGTGCTAAAAAGCTACTTTAAGAAGCAGTAAGAAAGCCGGCCCAAACGAAGCCTAAGAGTTGTATGTATCAACCCACAATCCTCCTTGAGCAGGAGCTTTCAACACTAAGATTTTATTTGGAATAGCTTTTTTAATGTTTTGATTTTCAGATTGCAATGATAATTTATATTTGGCAACTATTTTTTCATTGCTTTTTAAAAAAAATTACTGAAAAGTTACTTTCTATAACAACTTTTAAAATTTACAATAGCTTTAGAAAGCAATAAGAAAACCGTCCCAAACAAAACCAAAGAATTTCACATAGTGTCTACTCAGTCATATGGAGCCACTGTGGGAGTGCTTCATTCTTAACATTTGATTATGGTTAGATTAACGACTTTGATACAAAAAATTAGACTAATTCCTAATAGTAGTTAGGAGAAACACAGCTTTCTATTCAAATAACTATCACACTAAACATGATGATTGTAGAGAATAATAAGGAAATCAAGCACAACAAGAAGAAACTATGATTTATAATATTTGGCCTAAGTATTTGAATATGTTCATAAAGAGGGGAGACTCAATTTATTATAAAGATGTCACAAATTTAAAAAAAAAATTAAGTACAAGATAACACACGATAAGTCATCCAGGATGGACTTGATCAGAGATGAATCTCAATGCATAGTTGAATTAGAAACTTACAAATTCAATTTCAGGATCATCTGAACTATGATTTCAACAAACTTAAAGTCAAATTGGCCATTACAACGAGATTAACCCAAAGACATCAAAATTTATCAAACCAAATGATATACAAATCTTGTGCACAACAAAATCGAGTGTTTCAATGAGACTAATCCTACTACTTTAAAAGTATCTAATTACGAGTGTGACATCATTAAAACACTTAAATGCTAAAATAACAATCTATGATTAAGTGAATTAATACGAGTTGCTCGATGGTGTGATCCAAATGTTGGCTATAATTATGAATCATGTAGCATGTTACTTTAAAAAATCTATAAATATACCTCACTCTTTATATGAAAAAGGGGGAGACTTGGGGGCTTGGACCTTGACTTGAGATTCAAAAGAACTTAGTAGTTTGAAGAATCTTGAAGCTCCACCTGAGTACCATTGTTGAACCAATGCCTAAGCACTGTCGTTAAACCACCACCAAACTAGCACCACTCTAAAAAAAATTATAAATAAACCTCTATTCTTTACATGAAAAGGAGAACCTAAGCACTTGGACCTTGGCTTGAAATTTAAGAGAGCTCAATAGTCTAAAGAATCTCAGAGCTCCACTCGAGCATCACCATCTAACCAGTGCCCGAGTGCTAACATTAAACTACCTCTAGACCAGCACCTGAACGCTGCTATCAAATCACTAACAAACTGCCATCACCAGGCCACCCCCATATTGCCATTGTTAGACCACGGTCCAAATGCCATCATTAGACCATCATCGGACTACCACCATCACCACACTTTGATCCTCCGACTACCATCGTTTGACTTCAGATCTCTGACCGTTGTTGCTTGATTGCAGCCCCATTAACCCCATCACCCAACTATGATCCTCCAACCTCAATCACCCGTCTACGATCCCCAGACCACGAACCTATGACTATCATCACCCGACTATAACATTTTAGTCATCGTTATCAATTAAATTCATTCGGCCATTGTCGCCTGACAATGGTTCTTTGACCGCAATTGTCTAATGACGATTCTTCAATCACTGTCACCCGACTACAATCTCCTGACCACAATCGTCCGACTACAATACACTAATCTCTAGTCCTCTAACCATTATTGTCAGGCTACATCGAACCCCTATTAAATTTGTTACATATCATCGCTAACAATATCAAAACATGTTATCTCTTATAATATCAATGCTCATTGTCGATACAAACTTTGACTCCCAACATAGGAACTAGGATTTATGTTGAATTTCTTAATTTATGATCACCCCTCCTTAAAGGAGTTTAACCAAACACATAAGTAAATGATGTCCTAAATATAGCTCCCATGACACAAGGCTCTTCCAACTTCAATCATGTAATATGTTAAATACATAGCATGTTTACTACATTATATCAGAATATCTTACCACGAGAAAATATATCCTTTGTAAATGATAACGAATGATAGTTGATTTCAGATCAAAACCTAAAGAGATTCAGGTAGTGAAAGAAGAGGTAACCATTGATGCTTTCCATAAGCATAAACTCAAATCACAACCAAAACACTTTCAAATGTCTGTTACATTCTCATATACATGTTGCAGGTTTTCTTCATGCAACTTTCAAATAATGGATGGATGATAGTAAGAACTAAGAAAGAAATGGGTGATACAAGAAAGCTAGACTTAGGTTTCGTTTGTGACGGCTTTCTTACTGCTTCGTAAAACGGCTTTTCAGTATAAAATTTTTAATTCTTTTACTAGAAAGCTGCTTTAAGAAGCAGGAAGAAATTCATCCCAAACGAAACCTTAGATTTCTGAATTGAAATTAAACAAGCAAAGAAACAAACATCAATGATTCTCACCTGCCCTTAGGATTCATGATCTGAGAGAAGACGGCACTCGGCGTGAGTCCGTCGGAATCCTCACTATTGACGCTCCGACCGCCAATGCTCACTGCACTGGATGTCATTGTTGTCGTCGTTGTCATCGAAGTATCCATTACTGGATCATCCACAACCTTCTTCCCACCACCCACCATGAGTGGTGTTGCTTCTCCATCAGACATTCCACAACTCATCAATTCTCCATTGCTCTCCTCAGCACTCTCCTGCATCTGCAGCGCAAACTCGAGGTTCCACAGCACATCCCCCATGGCCGGTCGATCTATGCTGTTATCCGACACGCACTTCTCCGCCGTCTCCGCAAACTTCTTAAAGCATTCTGGAGCAATCTTTCCCTTGAGATATGGATCCATTATTTGATCAAGAATTCCCTTCTTTTGGCAATGCCTTGCCCATTCAGCAAGACTAACTTGTTCCTTAGGCAGACTTGGGTTCAGCACAGGCCTTGCACAGAGAGCCTCAAATAACACAACACCAAATGAATAAACATCAGATTTATCTGTAAGTTGCTGCCTTCTAAAGTACTCAGGATCAAGATACCCAAAGCTACCCTTCACCACTGTGCTCACATGAGTGTTATCAAGAGTAGGACCTGTCTTTGACAAACCAAAATCTGAAACTTTAGCAACCCATTTTTCATCAAGCAAAATGTTGGTAGTCTTCACATCTCGATGGATGATGGTGTGCTTGGCGCCGGTGTGGAGGTAATGTAGCCCACGGGCCGCGCCGATACAGATACCCAACCGCTCTTTCCACGGCAATGGCGGCTTTTGAGTCTTATAAAGGTGCTCTCGAAAGGTTCCATGGGCCATGTAGTCATAGACAAGGATCATCTCCTGGTTCTCCTCGCAGTAACCGATCAAAGATACTAAATGTCGATGTCTGAGCTTTGAGAGCATCTCAATCTCAGTTTGGAATTCATGAACACCTTGGCCTGACATTGGGTTCCCTCGCTTTATCGCGACTTTTGTTCCATCATCAATCTCTCCTTTGTAAACCTTTCCAAAGCCCCCTACACCAAGTAGAAGCTCCTCATCAAATCCATTTGTGGCTGCTTTGATCTCAGAAAAGGAGAAATGGCGACAAAGGTTGGATGGGAGGGAGGCAGTGTAGCTTCCAGTTGTGTTTGTCTTTGCTGATCCAGCTGAGTGAGAGTTTCCATATAATGAAATGGGAAGCCAGCCTGAGAAGCCATCGCTGGCACTAGAATCCTTTCCTTCCTTCTTCTTCGTTCGACGGCAAATCACAAGTGCAAAGTAACAAATTGCAAGGAAAGCTACAGAACCAATCACACCACCAACAATCCCAGGAATCTTGCTAGACTTGGAGGAGTCCTTTTTAACCAAAATTCTATCAAGTTCAACATCTGGCTGTGGCAGAAAGTCAGGATTCGGCCCAGCAAGACTGTTGTTAGTATTCTGCAGTTTAAAAACTTCAATTCCATTCAAGATTGAATCGTAAAACTGAGATTTTGATTGAGTATTTGGGTGAAGAGCAAGCCATAAATCCACCATTCCAGAGCCTGACGTGATCACAACATAATCTTCATGAACTGGCTTGCCAATCCCACCACTCCAACCAATAACATCAGCTCCTACTTGTGCAGTTTGATTGTTAAGATAGATATTAAAAACCCTCTGGTTAATCTTCGTGATTGGGTACTGAATTTCACAGAAGTGAAGTCGAACGAGGTAGAAGAACCCAGCGTCAACAGACAAAATCCAGCTCAAGTTGTAGTTCAGATTGATTGTAGCAGAAGGTCCCATTGACCTCGCCGTTGAGTACACATCAACAGGAGCTATGTACTCAGGGAGGGTGTTTGAGTACTCAATTGTAACATTTGGATCCGCAGAGTAAGTTACGCCAAATCCAGCTCCATTGATGTAAGGTGAATCGTCTGCCCAAGAGCGAAACAAGCCGGAATCCGCCGTCGGAGATATCGCCTGACCGCCGACGTTGAGACGATAAACCGTCTGCATCGCCCAATCACCCACGATTGGGAACTGAGTTGAAGAACTGCTACCGGTGACCAACAGGGGAGTGGGTGTAGAGAAGATGTCGGGCATCGAGACGATTTCAATACCATTGATGAAAGCAAAGGAGTTTGTATAGTTGTTTGAAGGAGTAAAGGTGAGATTGAGGGTGGGAGATGAGACATTGAGGGAGTATTCTTGGATAAGGTAAACAAAGTTGAGAGCTTGGGCGGTTTGATAAGCGGAGAAATTTTGCAGGAGGGTGATTGGGCCGGCGGTGACGGAGAAGATGGCGGAAGAAGCGGCGTGGCCGGAGTAGTTGGAAGGGTAGAAGTAGAGGCGGAGGAACTTGCGGCCGGGGCCGAGGGGGAAGGAGTAGGTGTAGGGGGAGGTGAAGAGGCGGGCGGTGAGGTAAGGGTATTGAGGAACGGAGGAATCCTGATCTGAAGCTGTGGAGCTGATGAAGTTTTGTGACGGAGGGGAGTACTTGGAGCCGGCGTCGCCGTCCCATGTACGGTTGTTGGAGTCTGTGTGCTGGCCAGATTCGCCGCAGTCGAGGAGGATGTAGTCGCGGGGGACAAAGGGGGAGTTGACTGCGCTGCCGCCGGAGTCGGCGGCGACGGCAGCGCAGATGGCGGAGGAGAAGAGGAGGGAAAGGAAGAAGGGGAGGAGTGGCGGCGGCGTCTTCATTGACGGTTTTGGTGAGTCGATCTGCTCACGTTGGAGAGATCGATTGGAATTTTGCGAATGCAGGTGAATTAAAGTAGATCTCTAGCTAAAAAATGGACCGAGCGAGATTAATACGAGCATTAATGGTTAAAAAACAGAGGTTTTAAGATTGAACTAAAGGATTCGAGAAGAATAGGAGCGTTACAGTGAATACAAAAACGGATCTTTTAAGAATAAACTACAGCGATCGAGAGGTATAAAAGCGTTACACTGCTGCAAAATAAGAATTTTACGATAGAACTGAATCGATCGCGAAGAATAGAGTGAAACAAAATCCCAACTTTGAAGAAGACAGAAATGTACCAAATAGCGTAGAGGGGAGCCGGCAGCGGAGTTGAAGAGAGAGGGAGATGGAAGAAGAAGGAGGTGAAAGTCTCCTGCTGGGCAGATTGTTTGGCTTAATCAATGGCAGAACGTGGGATTTGATTAAATAATTTAGCTCCTCGATGTTTATAGCAGATAAAAGAGAATTCTTTGATGAATGACGCGTATTTCGTGCTGAGCTGGGGGCAGGGGGAGGAGGAGATTGAAGGAACTTAAGGACAGTTGGATCCAGGAAGTCGGTTACAGGTGCGATGAGATTAGGGGTATTGAGCAACTCCAGCCGTCAGATTTGGTCGATCCTGGATTGTTTGATTGAGGTGGTGGTTGTGGGCCGTCGGATCGACGTGAGATGATGGCGGGAATTTCTTGTAGATTCTCAGAAAACAGGTTATGCCTAACCCGAATGGACCCGGTTTAGACCTAGGCTTTATTTGAAACAAATTTCTTGTTTAAACAACTTTCTCAGAATACCTACCGATGCTTAGCTAGGTTGGTGGGCGTGCTCGGGTTGGAACCCCCATACCGAGTTCGATTCTCTCGAGCGGCAGTTGCCCCTTCAGTGGGGGCCATCAAGCGTCGATGGCCCGTTAGGTCGGCCGAGGTTTACGGACCGCCAAGCATCCTGGCGGAGTCAAGGTGGCAGCGGACGGTTCCTCATCATAAAAAAAAAAAGTCTCATATAAAAATTTATAGTTAAAAAAAATTATATTAAAAAACTAAACTATTTTAAAAAGCCGTAAAAAAAAACTATCCCAAAATAAATCTCACTTTATAAAGCAATGTTCAAAGGCTTCTTATAGTAACTCATATGATATTGAAGTGAAAATTAGTTTGATGCTCGCAAAGTAACAACCAATTATTGTGTATACTATCTTGTGACTTTATTTTCTATTTTTTCTTAGGAAAAAAAAAGAAGAAAACCATAAAGGGAGATGGATTGACCTTTTTTTAGAAAAAAAGTTACAAAATTTTATGTACCAATGAATTGGCTAAGTTAGAATGGTTGAACCAAGTTGAATCATCTTAAAATCATTAGTTATCCATCAGTAGGTTGTCCAAAATCATTATAGAAACCATATGCAAAAACTCCTTGAAAATTTGTTGCTTATTGTCGCCAGCTATATTGACGTAAGACAACATATATTAGGCTGATACATGTCATTAATATGCATCGTTACATATAAAACCAATGAACAACATTGACATTAATGTTGAAACTCATTGATTTGGGCACTCATTATAACCAATAATGTTAATGAATGTCCTTGCATGTAAAGCCGATGTATGTTATCAATGCACACATCACTTATATGATCAATGCATGTCTTTGATGCATGTTATTACTTGTAAAGTTGTCGCATGCTATCAATATCAAGGTTAACGTCCATTAACTTTATCGCCTACCACTACTCATGGCATCAATGCACATCATTTCTGATTAGATAGATGCACGCTATTGACACTAGCTTTGATTCTTAACGTCAGCGTCAATATTATTGGAAATTTTATTGCCAGTGTTCTTCTTTTTAAAACGAGAATAACTAAGTACATCATAAACGGTCACTAGAAGATAAATGCAACTCACTCTAGATAAAACTTAAGTATATTTGCATACATATCCATAATTCTTATATAAATTGATAAAACTTAGGTATATTTGCACGCTATCAATGATTATGGGCAGAGCCCTTGTATTAACCAAAATAAAAGTACATGTGTGCAGCTATAAAAAAATAGAGGATGAGCAGCTATCAAAAAAGTGAGCAAGCTCAACAACAGAATTAATAAAAAGACTACAATGTGATTGAAAATGATTTGAAAAACAACAAAAGGGCTACCCCAAAATTGATAGACCAAAAAAATAAAAAGCAAGCACTGCCAAAAAAAAAAAATCCAAACCATATTTAAGGGATACAAATCATCATCCAAGGTAACCTGTTAATATAAATGCAACAGGTGTAATATTCAAGATAGGCAATGCGTAAAAGCCTGCAATCTATGCGAGGCCAGAAAGACTACCAACAGCTCCCCTCCATTGAATCCCAACAACAATAAGCAACTTTGATACAATCCATCAGCCAAGCCCAGAATGACTAGAGAACAACAACAAAGGCAGACCAGTTACTCCGTTACCATGAAATACATCAATCTTTAATAGTGTCCCCATATTTCCAATTTTTCATTTTCAATACAATTGCCCTCCTAATTTGAATGCAAAGTGTAGAGTAGATTCGATAATTAGAATAAATTAATCTTTCATTTTTTCCCTCCAATTGAAATAAGTTGTGCAGCAAATAATCAAGAAATAAAAGTTTTTTTTATCTTTAAGAGGGCAAGGTCTGTCATCCACAAAGTTTAAAACCTGAATAATGTTTGGCCTCATAAAAAAACTTCCTAAGTCAGGAATATATTTTGTGATCACTGAGAATGAATAGTCACACTCTAAAAGCAGACGAGCAATAGTTTTAAAATGAGAAGAGAGTAAAGGGCATTGATGATCTATAAAGTCACTCCTTTTAAGCAATGCATCTACCGTTTTGAGCCTTCCACGTACATCAAGCACACAAAGATAGAGTATTTGAGAGCATAATGCTTGTACCATATGAACTTAGACCAACTATAGAGAGGATATTCTTTATAAAAAATGTTAATAAAAGTGGAAAAACTAATATTCTTTCAATATTTCAAAGTTAACGAAGTGCTTTGACAAGAGAAAATAGAAACGGATTTATAACGGTACATAAATGCCCATCTAAAGAAGAAGGAAGATTCCAAGAGCCCTTAGAAATAAAATCAAGAACCCTGGCTTTAGCGGGGAGTGTAAGGGTAATAGAATTGCTAAAATAGGATTTAGCAATAAATGGGCCATTAATTCATGAATCCCAAATAAAGGTGAGCTTGCTATTCGGAGAAATATAATGTGTCACACAATGAGAGATACTCTCAGCCGCACTACATAAAGCAGACCAAAGTTTGGAATAGTTAGTGCCATGACGGGTCCCTGGGGAGGTGAGCAATATTTTGAACTCAGCAAAAAAAAAAGAGAGGCGAGTTAGTGTTATAAAATATGACAATGAGAGAACAACATTGAGTATGCTAGAGAGCCTTATAATCAGAAAACCGAGACCTCCACATTGCTTAGGTTTACAAGTATTGTGCCATGAAATCATATGGACTTTCTTTGCATTTGTATCCCCAAATAAGAGAAACTTAGAGCACATCCTACCCAAAATTTTCAAGATTTGGGTATAATCTATCCATGAATCCAGTAGACAGTCATGTTCCATATATTGTATCTAAAAAATTGAAGACACTCTGCAAAAGAGAGATGACTGGCCTTCCAACCAACCAGGTGATTAAGACAGCTAGTAAGAGGGGATGAAAATCAATAATGCAAGTTTTGGTTAAGGAAATGGGAAGGCCAAGATGTGCCATTTTGAAACTATGCAGTGAAATATTTAGGGCATAACATATTTCTAGAGGGTTGGAAATGTATGTGGAGATAATAATATTACTTTTTTCATAATTGATCGATAAGCCAAAAAAAACTAGTAAAATAACTCAAAATATCAAGTAATATCTCACATTTGTGTTTAGATGTGTTACCAAAGATCAATAGATCATCAACATATAAAAGATGTTTGAGATGAGGTCACCACTAGAGACACTGACAAATCTATCATGAGAGTGAGGGTTATCAATCAAGCATAAGAAAGCATCCATGATGATACATAGCATATATGGGCTAAGAGGATAGCCCTGCTCAGTCCAGTAGTGGAATTAAAAAACCCATCCAAAGCATCATCGATATAAATATATAAATAAACTTCAGAGATTCAAGCTTTGATCCACAAAACAAAGAGAGTAGGGAAACCCTTATAAATCATCTTTTCTAGAAGGAAGCTCCTAGAAACTGAGTCAAAGGCCTTATGGATAACAAACAACACATAATAGTTTTTTCTTGGCCATTTTCTTGAATTTTAATATTAATTCAGAAGCAAGTAAAACATTGTTTGTGGAAATTCTATTTTGAATGAAACGAGCTTGACTTTTCCCAATTATAACAGGCATAATTTATTTCAACATTTGGCCAAAATTTTTAATATTATTTTATGAAAGACATTGCAAAGCGATATAGGCCTAAAGTTAGTAATGTTTGTAGCGTGGGAGCTCTTTGGGATGAGAGAGATAGCAGTGACCTTCACCTTCCTAAGAAGATAACTTTTAGAGAAAAAAGATTTAATAGCTTTACAAACAAGCGGCACAACAATCAACCAACTAGTTTTAAAGAATTCAAAATTATAACCATTAGGGCTAGGAGCTAAATTCGAATAAAAAAATAGCAGTTTTAATTTCTACGTTAGTGACCATTATTGTGAGAGTGGCCCCAAGATGAGAGGGGACAACAGATCTCAAAATATTGCTCCCCATTATATAAGATTTTCTTTGGGATATCTTTTATATTACTTTTTTAAAAAAAATTTTAGTATAAAAAATTTTAGTATAAAAAATTATTTTAGAAAATAATAGAAAAGCTTAATCAAATTAAGACCTCATTTGGGACGATTTTTTTATTGATTCTTAAAATAAAATTTTAATATCAAAATTTAAAATTTTATGCTAAAAAACTGATATAAGAATCAATAAGAAAAGGGATTTTTACATACATACCACTTTATAATATGGGTATTACATATTTAACACCTAAAACTTAAATATTTCATATATGCCACTCAAACTCATTTTTTACCTCAGAAATGCCACTCCGTTAACAGCGACGTCTTAGTCCGGTTGTAAATGCCCTAACTTGCGTGCTCCTTCGGCTCTTCCCAACGAACTCCTCTGGTTTTTTGCTTTTTGCCACCGGAAGGTAATATCTCCTCCTCTCTTTCTCTTTGCATCCTAAACTCTGCCATTTCCTAAGCTTCGAACTCCTCTCGTTCTTTGTTTTTTTCCAACCGGAAGGTAAGATCCCCTCCTCTCTTTGCATCCTAAACTCAGCCATTTCCTAAGCTTTTTGCCCCCATTGTTTCTTTAGCTTCGCAGTGTGTTCTTTAGCCATTCTCGTTCTTTGCTTTTTTTTTTCTTCAGATTTGTGTATTTTCAGATTTTTTGATTTGTAGTTTTCAGATTTCTGTATTTTGTGAGAAGTTATGTAATTTAACTTTTGTTTTCAACTAATGTGAAAGTGCCATGTTTTGTGTTCAGATTTGCAGTAACTTTTGTTTTCAGATCTGCAGATTTTATTTCCATGTAATGTGAAAGTTTTGTAAGAAAAAAGCATTTCGGAACTTGTAGCCAGAGGTTTTTGTGCTTATCTGTCGTATGAGTTACATTTTGTCTTGGTAATTTACGCCGGATTGGATTATCCTGATGTTGGCTTCAAAGAAAAATAATTTGTTTTCTTTTGTTCATAGATTGTGCTGGTTTCAAATGAGTTCAACAAACTCTTCTGCTACGAGGCGCCCACATTGTCAAGTTTACTGTTACTGTCATCTTAAGTGTGCGTTATATACTTGCTACCGTGGACCCAACTCTGGAAGGCAATTTTATAGATGCATGAATAATCGAACGGAAGACGATTGCAGGTACTTTAAATGGACAGACAATGTAGAAGAGACGTCTTATGGTACACCTACTGAAGTTGAAGGCTTTGAAGCTAGGATGTCTAAGAAGCTTGACTTGATCATCTTGTTGATGAAAGTCCTTGTTGGTGTTGTTCTTCTAATAGCTATTCGTATTTATTTAGTTTAATGTGTAAGTAGTCTAAATGATGTAGAAGTGTGTACTTGTAATTGTTCTTGTTATAGCTATCTGTAGTAGTAAGATATAAGTAATTGCCAATAAACAATGAACAATAGGGTCTTAGTTCATACCTTGCTACGTAGTAGAACTCATCGACATAAGTATGCCACAATGGGTGCTCTTTCATACCAATGAAGGCAACGGCATGAATGCAAGGCAACCCTATTAGCTGCCATACTCCACAAGTGCAGTCCTTTCTTTCAATATCAACGATTTGTCTTGAGTGCAGTCCTTCCACCTCAACCTTGGAAATGCTAGCTTGCCGAACAACCAAATGATCTTTCCTTGTTGTTATATCTCTGATATATTCTTCCACATTTGGAACTAATTCTTTCTGCCAAGTCAAGCTAGTCATTTTTCATTGAGCTCTTTGTTCCATAACCTTTTCCCGGATCAAATCAATGAGGTCAACTGCAGGTTTGGTTCTAGCATCAGAAATCCATGCGTTAAATGACTCAGCAAAATTATTTGTATTAGTAGCATGACCTATCCCGATCATGAATTGACTTCTTGACCACTTATAAGGTAAAGAAATGAGATATGAGTACAATGTAGGGCTCAAGTCATGAAGTTCAGAAAGCTTCTCGTTCATCTCTACATTAGTATAGGCATTTGCTGCTGCCCAAACCAGTCCTTGCATTTTTTGCCCTTCTTTACATCGAAAATTTTTTTTTATATTCTTCCACAAATGTCGAATGCAAATTCTATGCTCAGCTTGGGGATATATTTCTCTGATTGCCTCTCCCAAACCCTTCTCCATGTCAGATATGAAACTAAGAGTGCTTAAATTAGTACCAATAGTCTCTCCCATGTTCTTCAAGAACCATGACCATGAATGTTTGGACTCAGCCTCGACAACAACATATGCTATGGTGAATAAGCCATTATTTCCATCAACTGAGTTAGCGGATAAAAGGACACCCAAATACTTAGATTTGAGATGGCATGCATCTAAACTTATAAGCGGTCTGCACCCAAATAAAAATCCATCCACACACACCTTGAAACTAACATAAAATCTTTGGAAAGAATTACCAATAGCATTAAATGTATATGTGATGTGTGAGCCCGGATTTCTATCAAGTAATTCTGCTGTCAATGTTGGAACCCATTTATAGTTGTCATCAACTGAGCCAAAAATGTTGTCACGTGCTTGCTCTCTTGCCCGCCAAAGCTTCATATAAGGTAATGATAAACCAAATTCCTTCTCCAAACCGCTATTTATTTCTTTTGGTGAAATATCTGGATACCTCTTCACCATCTCCTGAATCTGATTAGCAACCCATGCGGATGTAGCTAGCCGATTCCCAGCACGATTTATCCCAGGGCATGTGTGTTCTCCATCAACTCTCCTAACTTGAAATGATTGAGAGTCTTCACATAGGGATGCCTGAATTCGCCATTGACAACCTTGATAGGAACATGTCGCAATAACTCGTTTCTTATCACTAGCTTTTATCCTCACCCCAAAGTTCTCTTTAATGGCAAATGATCGGAGAGCATTCTTGAAACTTGTAGCATCATTAAAAAATGTACCTATAGTGATATCTGTAACACTTGATTTTTGAAATCTCGAAACACCATCATTCTGAGAAATGGAACATTGTATATTTTGTTCAAAACTTTCAATCCCTATAACATGTGAGTTTGATTGATCTTCATCACCTTCGTATAGTGAGATAACTATTTCGGCACGTAAACTTTCATTCGTTTGGTTTACCAACAAGCTCACGTCAGCATCGTAATTGATTACTTTGTACTCCTTGGGTGATGTTCCGTTAATGTGATAATGCATGTTGTATCGATGTCCTTTCAACCAAGGACATATTCTAGCAATCTCTGATCTAATCTTAAAAATATTCATATGTCCTTTATCAAGTTTCACAGTTCTTTGTTTGCCGCCAATATATCCCTTTCTAGATTGGTCCTTTGTGTCAACCCAAATTCCTCCATATTTAAATGCAATAAACAAATTCTCTTTTCTACCTCCACATAAATCATCTATTGCTTCGTCACAATCCTGCATTACCGAATTATGCCATGAGGTTGTCATTTTTCATTAACAACAACCTGAAATAAACACCACATCGTTAATTAGTGCCAAAAATATAAATATAAAAGAATAACAAACGTTTCAACTATTGAAGAAAAGTTGGAAGCTTCAGTAATTTAAAGCTGACAAAACTTTTTAAAAGAAATACATTTTTATTGCAGAAAAGCTTCATCTTCAATAAAGCCAATATTTATGGCTTTGCCGAAAAGTTTCATCTATTGAATAAAATTACAACACAAGCTGCAGGTTTCCTTTCACAGTTCTTTGTTTTTTTTGGGACATACACATTTCTTTGTTAGCTTCGGCAATGCCAAATAAAAATCTGAAAAGCTTTAAACGATGGATAAAAAAAACAAGTCCAGTAAAGCAGAGCAATGTATACAGGCAGGAAAAAAAAAAGCAAGTCCGGCAGAACAACTGGGTAAATACGGATGGAAGAGCAAGGAACAGCTACGGAGGAGGAAGAGCAAATACGGAGGAGGAAGAGCAAATACGAAGCCGGAACATTTACTGAAACGCTTTCTCCCGCCGAAAGCCAAGGCGGGAATGAAGATAAACGGAGTCCGGTTAGCTGTTAACGGAGTGGCATTTCTGAGGTAAAAAATGAGATTGAGTGGCATATATGAAATATTTAAGTTTTAGGTGTTAAATATGTAATACCCATATTATAAAGTGGTATGTATGTAAAAATCCCATAAGAAAATCAGTCCCAAACAAAGCCCAAATCAAATTTCTAAAAAACAAAAAATCCCAAAAATGCAAGCCAGCTGCGAGTGTCTCGTGTAGATTCGTAGCAACGAAGCGAGAAACCTGAGACGTTTAGCTTTGGATATATAAAGGTCTGCTCGATTTAGGGCTTGTCTTGCCTCTCTATCTCGATCTTCTCGGTACGCCGCGTTAGGGTTGCGAGGGTTTATCGCCTCTCTGTTTTCTACCTATTATTATTTTGTTTGGTATCTTTTCATTTCTTTGATTTCTGGAAGAGAATCGTCCGCTGATTTTAAGGAGCTAGTTCTCTACTTGCTTTGATCGGTACATTACTTCTGAGGCTTGCAAAACAGCAGCGTCCAATATGGCGTCGGATAATGCAACAGATTTGAAAGATGAGATTTCAGAGGTATTTCTCTTTTTTTCTTTCATTTCTTCGAATTAGCTAACTTTGAGATTGTCTGTGGGCATTATCTTTAAATAAAAACAACGTTTTGCGGATTAATGAACATGCAAGGAAGATAATTTTGATTATTTCTTTTATTTTGAGAGCATAGTTTACTTGACCTTTTTTTGCATTTGGTGCTCTTGTATATAGCTTGCCCCCTTTGATCCCACGAAGAAGAAGAAAAAGAAGAAGCCGGTGGCTCAAGATCATGTTGAAGAGGTGGAGAAGTTAGTTGAAACAACGGAGAATTTATCAGGTTTGATTATGAAGATATGTTGTTGCCCTCTGTGTTTATATTTTCGAGGGGTTTATGTTTGATATGACTGAAATGTTTGCAAAAATGCAGTCGAAGATGCTGGTGAATCTGTATTTTCAGGAATGAAGAAGAAGAAGAAGAAGCAGGTTGGCTTGCATGGGCTTGTTCTGGCTTGTTTTTTCTGAGATGATATATGTTGTGGATGTTTAATTTGACAGAAAGTTGCTAACTTTGGCATCTTCTCAGGTGGAATTGGACATAGAGGAAAATGAGGAAGGGGATGCTGGCGAGGATAATGATGGTAAGAGCTGAAATTATAGTATATAAGATTGCATCACTTGATTAATTGTAGTAGATACTAATTTCACATATCGTAATTAATAAGTGATATTTGTAAACGACCTTTCTCTATGGATGTGATGGATTCAGATGGCAAACTTGGTGAGGATGAGCAAGGGGAGGGTATTATATTTGGTGGTGAACAATTACCTTGGGAAGGTACTGACCGAGATTACAAATATGAAGAGGTCTGCCTTTTTTTTTATTAAATGTTGTCCATATTTTCTTATAATTGTGAAAGTTGATAAAATTTCTTTTAAATTTTTAGGAAAAAAACAAGACATTGAATAACTATAAAGATAGGTGTTTCTTTATGTGGTTAGGCATTTTCCTTTTTCTGCAATTAATGTGCTTAGCATTTTATTTTTCTAATTTAAACTTTCAGTACATTTCTGATATAATCTTTGTTTGTTTGCCTTGTCCATCTACTATATTGAGTTGTGTTGCTGCTTTATGTAATTTTGAGGTTTATGAAGAATTTTGAGGTTTTGGAGTTGGTTGTCTATACACATCATAAATTAGATAAGCTAACGTTCCAAGTCTATTTTATTGTGACCGAGATGGCAATATAACCCTCAACCATTGTGGCCGTGGACCAATAATAATATTTTAAGACTCCTCTAACTTAGGTGAAGTTCGGTCTCTTGCATAAGCTTTGGTTCAAGTTCATCTTTTTAGACGTTAAATCGTGATGTTCACATTCTTACGCAAGTTCAACTGCAAAATAATGCTCAAACTCAAAGGATACAATGACGAGTAGAGTGTTAAGATTGGAGTAAATAGTTGGAGAAGTAACTTGATACTTTTTTTCCTTAGGGCACCAAACTATTGAATATTACATCAAAAGACCTAAGTTGATTAGAGACTTGATGAAATTTAAGGGAAGATTTATCAATTTGACTTGGCTTTGGATGATAATCACATCAGATATGAGAATTGGCATGACCATTATGATATGATTGATCATAATGATGACATCTTTGATAAGAGCATATGCTATCATGATATGATCTATTAGGGTAATGATTTTAAGGTTGGGAATATACATGATCATCTCAATATGATCGGTGCAGTGATGATATGAACTATATGATGTGTCAACTTGATGCTCTGGAGAGTAGGGTGCACGGGCATCGTGATAGGAAAAGCAACAATCTTAATTCTCTCATAATGATGATAATCATAACGATCACCCAGAAATAGAATCACTTTGGTTAAATGGTTGTTGCAACGTAGCTTTGGTTGTCGTCCCATAAAGAAGACAAATCAATGAAAAACAAAGAATTCAAGGCTTTGAGTTTCACTTAATGGCTTATGCTGCTATCATCAACTATGATTTTTAAATACCACTCAATTGCATGTTTCACATCTCAATCATGTAATTGGAAATATGTTTTTGAATGCTTTTGAAAAGAAGAAAAGTATTTGTTTTGAAAAAATACTTCAAATAAAAACAAACATAAGTTTATCATATAAGCATTGTTTAAAATTGCGCAATATGAAGCTTGCCTTGAGGCCTGCTTCAACGCAATTCTCGTAAAAAATGTCTCATGTTTTTTTATGAGGCTTGAGCCTTAGCTTGACTGAGACCCGCCTTGAGTCGTGCCTTCGCCTTGCTAGGGTGAGGCGTACTTCGCACCCTATTTATATATATATTTTTTAAAGCTTGCCAAAATCTTAAACTAAAGTCTCGAACAAACCAAACCTTCATGCACCCTCAAGCCACAACGGCTTCCTCTCGACTGCCTCAACCTATAGCCCACCGTCTTCGTCATAGCGACGATCGTCGTAGCCGTCGTCAAGGATCAGTTGAAAGCCGCACACCACCACTACTACTAAAAATTTTGGAGTATTAATCTCATCTTTATATTAATAAAATATATTTTTGTAGAAGGAAAATGTTCGAAATAAATGAAGAATAAGCAGATTGTGAGCATTGAACTTCACAAGATGAGGTAGGGGAGATACTAAATTATTATGAAGAAGACTCAAATAAAGACCCCTCAATGATGACAGTGGAAATGATTTATGAGTTATTTGACAACTATTTTAACATTTTTTAGGAATTAAATATAGATGAGTAGGTCACTGAGAAAGAAAAAATTTGAAGTTGTATGATACTTTTATGCAATTCATATATTAATATTATTTTTCTCTTATAATATTTAGATTTCAATTCTATTTCACACAATTTATTACTTAACATTTTACGTCTTTTGCAATTTTTTATTTCATATGTATGTCAATTTGTTACTTTATAGTTCAATAAAAAATTAATCCGGCATCATTTAATATATTATATTAGTATTATACAAAAAATCACTATTAACCTTTATTTTCCTTTATGAAATGTTTTGATTTGGAGGCTTATGCATCAAAATGCTTTGAGTCTTACGTCTCGTCTTACGAACAAAAAATGCCTCAATAACCAATTGCGTAATTTTAAACCTTGCATACAAGCCTTTTGTCACACCCCATTTTAGTCAATCTAAAGTGTAACAAAGAAGGAGAATCTGAATATTCCTCCTTACTAACACCTATTCTGAAATATCTCTATCAGAATCAGGGAGTAAGAAGTATTTTATTCAGAATATTATAATATATCAAGTTTTATACTTCATAGCATGAAACATATATAATATACCTCAAATAAAATATACTTCTCAATTGAAATACAAAGCTTTATTAAAACTTTTAAAACTTACATAACCAAAAGTCTATACAACTCCCACTCATATCCCTTTTTATATCAAAAAATATATGTACGCAAAAAGTTCAGTCACTCTTTTTCTCTAGTGCATTACTGGCTCCTTCCCCTTTCCTATAGTACAATCATTGTTAATGAGCTAGAGCTTAATGAAATATACAAACAATGCATAAGAAATCATAATGAATATATTGATAATTAATATAACACATAAATTTTCTACCAAACATAAGCTTTGCATAACATCATTTTCTGTTATGTTTACTATTCAAAGCCTTCATACAAGTTATATGATGGCTATAGATTTTTGCACTCATCAAACTTTCCAATTCAAGGTTGGGTCAGAATTCTCAATTTTTAGAATTGAAGCTACTCTATTATTCAAAGTTGGGTTTAGATTCTCAATTTTTAGAATTTCGAGAGTGTAGGCTTACCTCGTTAGGCATTTCGCCTTTACTTGTGAAGGATTATCCTCCATATATGACTTATTTCACATTTTCAATATCATACAGTGTACTATTGTAATCACTTGTGCAGGATTATCCTTCATATATGACTTATTTCACATTTCCAATATCATACAGTGAACTATTGTAATCACTATTTAATTAAGCCATTATTTACATAAGAATAAACTGAAATAAACTAAAATAATTGCTATCATGAACATAACAGACAAGAGTTTGCAATTATACAAATTTTTTTTATTATTTCCCATAACATCGGTTGGATATTTCATCTTGTTTTCCAAAACAATCGGGTAAACTGGTTCACCTAAAGTACTATGTTTCCTTTTTCTTTTGTAAATAACCTAAACATACATTTCTTTATTTATATATGGTTTCAAATAAAATAACACAAGAAATATGAATATATTACAATTTTCTTCAATTGCACCATTCTTCATTCAATCCAAAATTCCTCTCCTGAATTCAACAAATCAATTTCAGCAACCCTTTCCATTTTAGCAGACATCAGCGCACATGATTTCAACAAATGGCAACATACAACAAACCTTTTATTTCAGCATTTCCACAATTCTTTACTGGATTCCATCAATTAATTTCAGAAAAATAATAGCACACAAACATTGATTGTAACCACTGGAATTCCAGCAATAATTCATTCAGGATACCAATTTGAGGACTCAATAATCCAAACTGCTGAAATAGAGTTGTAATGTATTGATTTCGGAATAATTTCACCTGCTCTGTTTTTTGAAAAAAAAAAAAGATTTTTAACAATTTTTATTTGTTCGGGAAGCATGTATTGGAAAGTATATTCTTTATGAGCTCTGCTTCAGAGGCTTTATGATCATCTGGGCAAGTCCAAAACACTTGCAGAGCAACTTTTTCAACCATACTAGAGTACCTATACTTTATTTGGAAGGTAAAGCTCAAGACAACCCAACATTACTAAACAAAGCAAAAACACTACATTTAAAGGCTGCTTGATGCAATTGCTTTTTATGGTTTGACCGAATTATTCATCTACCACTGCCTCTTTAGTTCAGCCTTGTCTTTCATGAACTTAATGACATAGTTGTGAACTAATTAAGGCTTTTCACGTGGAGCTCCTTTAGCTCCTTTCATTTGCTTTACTTTCCATAAATCTAAAAGGTGCTAGCTTTTATTTTATGTGAAAGTCAAATCCTTTTTATCGATTTAAATAAATGTACGTCCAATTATAGATTTCTTTCTATTCAAAACCAATCTTTTAATTCAAATTCAATTTTTATTGCTCTTTTTCTTTTGTCTCTGCATGGTTTGATAGTTCTGCTACTTCTGGATGGTTGTAAGAGCATGATAAGCATTTTGTTTATCTGCTGTCAGCATTCCTTCAAAATCTCTTTTGGTTTAGAATAGAATTCCTTTGAATTTTTATTGGTGCTCAGATCTTTTTTGTTCAATGTTGTTGTAGCTTCTGGACAGGGTCTTCAATACTTTACGTGAAAATAATCCATTGCTTGCGGGAGACAGGCGCAGAACTGTGATGAGGCCCCCACAAGTTCTTCGAGAAGGAACTAAGAAGACGGTCTTTGCAAATTTTATGGATTCCTGCAAGACGTATGTTGCCATATTTTGAACAACAGTGGTTTGAATCATGATTACTTTATGAATGTTGTAATAACTTTCATAATCTTGATGCATGCATGCATTAATACTTGTGTTGGATCTAGAAATATCCGTGAATCGTACCCCTACTATGCCGAGAATATTGAATGGAAAAGAGAATAGAAAAGTAGAGAGAGAAAGAAAAATGTTAGAGTAAGAAGTTTAGAGATTTCAATAGGCTCAAGTGTAGAAAATTACATAAATTGAGCTCACTCTTTTTTTTTTTTTAAACTTAAATTAAAGAGATATATCCTTAGAACACATAAATTGAGCTCACTCGTTGACCCCTAATTTATAGACTAGGGTTGAAGCTTGAGCATTATATAATTGATACATACATAGCTATATAGAAATTAAGAAAAATACAATAATAATGTAGCATGGTTAGAAGGTTTGTCTTGATGAAATTGTTTGTTGAGCTTTGAAGAAGTGGCTTGCCTTAAGAAGTTGTCTTCCTTTAGTAGTAGCCAGGGTTGACTAACAAAATGTATTGGCCCGATTGTGATGAGTTCTTGTATCATGCTTGCTTCCTTGAGGTCAATTTCCTTGTAGATTAAGGAGTTTGGGATTGAGTATGTCAAGTTAGTTTGATTTGAACCAGCTTGATTTAGTTTGAACCAGGCCTACTTAACTTGAACCATATATTCTAAATACTTGAATGTACATTTAGTTGCTTGATTCTATTATATCTTTAAAGGTTTATTGCAAAATGAATAAGAGAATATAAAAATATTCCGAATTAATTAATCCTCGAGCAGGCAAATGCCTCCTCTCTTCATGATGAAGAGTTGATGTCAACCCCTCACTATTACGGTAATATCTCTCATCAGTGATTGGAGTAGAGGTCTATAATCTTACTCCAGAAAGTATTCTTCTTCTCAACACAAACTTAGAGAACCCCTTAGGTGATTCCATTCTAGGCTTGGTTTTTGGAATCCTTTTTAATGCTCCTTAAATCATTCAGGTCATCCTCTTATCGAATTCAATAAGTTGACGGACAATCACGAAATCACGATGCTCCATGTTAACAAATTCTTCTCCTTCTCTTTGATATTGTTCTACGTTATTTCTTCTTCTACTTACTGATATGCTTCATGCTCATTGCACCTTTTAGGATGTTGGATTTAAAAGTGTCTGCGAATCACACCCAATTATATTGAGAATATTAAGTGAAAAAGAGAACAAAATAGTAGAGAGTGAAGTAAGAATGTTAGAGTAAGAGGCTATGAGATTTTAAAAATAGGTTACAGTACAAAAATTATGTGAACTTAACTCACCCTTCAACTTTCCTATTTATAAATTATGATTGGGGCTTGAGCGGTATAGTTTTGGCTATATACATGACTACAAAAAATAGAATAAAATATAATATTAGTGTAGCCTAGTCATAAGGCTCGACTTGATGAAACCGATTGCCAAGCTTCGAAGATGTAACTGACTTGCCTTGAGAAATCATCTTCGTTGAGTAATAGCCAGGGCCGACTGATAGGCTGTACTTGCTTGACTGGATGAGTTCTATGATCATGATCACCTGCTTAAGGCGAGTCTTTTTTTTTAGATTGATGAGTTTGAGATCAAGTACATTGAGTTAACTTCATTTGAATTGGCTTGATTTAGCTTGAGCCCAATCAATTTAACTTGAACCGGATTTTCTGAATATTTGGATGGACACCTTGTAGTCTTTTAAATTTGTTTTTCTAAATTTCAGCTGGTCATTTGAGTAACTATGTGATGTGTTGTATTTTATATATTTGTGATAGATGTGATGGTAACAAATTCCTTGTTCAAAATGGAAAGCAGTGATAAAAACACGTAAATGCTATCAATCCTGTGGACTTTCTTTGAAGGAAAGGAATTATAGATTTTTCTCTAATAAAGAAGGGGCAAAAATAATGCTGTTCAACTTTATCACCCAAGCTTATTTTTGGATGGATGCCATTCGTAGAAAAAAAAATTGCTCTTCACATTACCAAGAAGCAGTTAGATTTGTACGATGTCACAGTTTGATCTTTTAGTTTTTTTTTAATTGATATTCTTTTTTTTTTTCTCTTAGCAATCTTGTTCCTCTGTAATTTTTTGTTTTCTTCCATTTTTTAGGTGGATGAAATCGTTTATAAAACAAAAATTACTTTGAAACTATCTACGAGAAAGAAATTATACAACAAAATAATCATGCTGTTGAATATATATTTTGTAACACATGAGATTTAATCTTGAAAGTTTGCTTCTCAGGATGCATAGGCAACCAGAACATGTCATGACTTTCTTACTAGCTGAAATGGGAACCACTGGATCTCTTGATGGACAGCAGAGATTGGTTGTGAAGGGGAGATTTGCTCCTAAGAACTTTGAGGGTATCCTTAAGAGATATATCAGTAAGTTTCCACATATTCATAGCTTGCTTTTGGGAATATCTGTGGCATTATTTTTTTCTAGCTTCTTTATGTAATGCTGCTTAGGAATCGAAAATGGTCAACATACTCATCTAAAAAATTAAAACAGTATTTTATATCATTGTTGAATTATTCTTTTCTACAAGATGGTGGTGAGACCTGCAATATTTATGGTGCCAATTGTTGGCCATTAAAAGAAAAGCATAATACTAAGTTAAGTGTTGCAGAGATAGGAATCTCAGGTGGGTGAGTGGCTTTACCCTTAGAGATAGGATACGAAAATGAGCATTTACGTGAAAAAGGTTGGAGTAGCGCCAGTGTAAGATAAGATTAGAGAGATTCGCCTTAGATGGTTTGGTCACATAAAACGGCGGCCTTCCGATGACTCGGTTAGGAAAGTATAAGTATTAGATTTGACTTATGTTAAGAAAGGTAGAGGTAGATCTAAAAAGACTTTGTTAGAAAATATTAGAAATGATCTTTCTTTATTAGATTTAAATGAGAATTTGACTTTTAATATGACACAATGGAGAAAAAGGATTCATGTAGCCGACCCTAAGTAGTGGGACGAAGGCTTGATGTTGTAGTTGAATTATTCTTTTCAGGTGGAGAAAAGGCATTATTTTTGTTGGTAGTTTTTGTTTTAAATATATAGCTAAGCTGAACCTCCTGATTGGTTATTTGGTGTTTATTGTAGTGATCAGCAGTTTGGAGGTAACACGTTGGACATATTACTATAATAACTTTTTTTTTTCAAACATGTTGAAGCGTGCGTGTTCACTTCAGAACAACTTGATATATTATAGTATGTTATTTATTTCAAGCAGCGAAAAGTCTTCAAGTTTTAGGTTAGGATGGAACTCCTTCCTCCAAACTAATGGCTACGAATGATGACTTAGATAATCTCTAATTAGGAATGCATTTTGATTTACTAGATTAAGGTATCGTTTGAGATAACTTTTTTGTTGCTTTCAAAAGCAACTTTCTAGTATAAAATTTTTTGTACTAAAAAGTCGTTTTAAAAAGTAGTAAGAAACTTGTCCCAAACGAAGCCCAAATAAAATACTATTATTTCCGAGTTAGGCTTCATATAGGCGGCTTTCTTACTGCTTCTCAAAACAGTTTTTTAGTATAAAAAATTTAATTTTTGTACTAAAATTTTTTTTTAAGAAACAATAAAAAAATCATCTCAAACGAAGTCTTAGTGTAATAGTATCAGAATGATTCTAATTTAATAACCTACTATTTTAGGGTTTATGTTAAGCATTTTGAGCTTTACATTTCCAAATCGTCCACTGTTTCCTTGTCTATGGAAATGTCAATCTTTCATCAAGCAGTTATGATCTATTCTTTTGATGATCATGCGTGACATAAGGAACCACATAAGAAGCTTAAAACTGTCCATTATGTTTTCCAGTCTGCTGTTTGTTTCCCTTTTTCTTGGTGCCATTAATGTTGGTTATGCTGTTATTCACAAACTCCTTACAGTGAAATTGAAAATTTAGGCTTCATTTGGAACGGCTTTTTTACTACTTTTTAAAGTAGCTTTTTTGTAAAAAAATTTAAGAAGCAGTAAAAGAGCCATCCCAAACGAAGCCTTAATATGGCAGCTGATGATTGGTTGCTACATGTTTTTACCTCTGACAGCTGCTTTTAGATAATTAGTTAGTTTATAAGAAAAATGTGTTGTTTTTCTTACCTTTACTTTCTATATTGTTTCAATTAATTGTTCTTTATTTTTAGATGAGTATGTTATTTGCAATGGCTGCAAGAGTGCTGATACCATTCTGTCAAAAGAGAATAGGCTATTCTTCCTCCGTTGTGAGCAGGTAACTTGTGTTCTTGTTGTTTTAATTCACATCATTCATATCACACAAGTTTTTTTTTTCAATCATTATTTTATTTTATTTTATTCTTTTTGTAAGTTGAGAACTGGCCGACCCCATGTAGTGGGACAAAGGCTTCATATTGTTGTTGTTGTTGTAAGTTGAGAACTTGAGATTTACGCACATACGCACATGCCACTGAAATTTTCTTTATGTACGAAGCTAAAATTTTGTTTGAGGCAGCTTTTTTACTGCTTTCTAAAGCAGTTTTCTTGTACAAATATTTTTTGAACTAGAAAATTTTCTATTAAAAAAGTTATTTTAAAAACAGTAAGAAAGTTGTTCCAAATGAATCTTAAACTCATGTTTTTAAAACAATAAACTACTGAACTTGTATATTCATAACTGTTATGATCAAACCATTGGGAATTTAGTGGAGTTGATTGAGATTTTGTTGTTCTTTATTATAAATGTAGGCTGTTTGGTATTACTTTTGAAATTTGGGACAAACATAGGAGAGTAAGCTTATTATATGCCAATTTGAATAATTTTATGGAAAAATTATTTATTTTTTTAAAATTTTTTTTGTTACAGTGTGGTTCTTCGCGGTCGGTAGCGCCGATCAAAGCCGGCTTTGTTGCCCGCGTTGGCCGTCGCAAGGCTGGGGTTTAATTCCACACTAACCTTCAAAGGGTTCCCATAAAATCTAAACTGATGTAAGGAATTTGGAAGTAGAGCTGATGAACTATTATGCATTTGGTTATACTGTTAAATACTAGTTATTGTATCTCATACAGTGAGTTTACTAGCAGCTTTTGAACTAAATTTGCTTGTTCATGTTCCTTTCATCATGAGCTGTTGTGCCAATCTAATGATTTATATTGATATTATTCTTACTTTTCAGATTGTTTAAGACTTCGTTTGGGACAGCTATCTTACTGCTGCTTAAAGCAGCTTCTTAATACAAAAATTAAAATTTTTATTAGAAAGTTGCTTTAAGAATCAGCAGAAAAGTCGTCCCAAACAAAGCCTAAGTTTGCTATCATTGAATGTTGGGAGGCCAAATAGAGGCATTTTTAGTTTACCGACGTAGAGTTAGGCTGAATTTGAGCTCGAAGTGAAGGATGTAGGTTTCATTTGAGATAGCTTTATTACCGCTTTCTAAAGTAGTTTTCAAGTAAAAAAATTTGCAGTTAAAAATAAATTTTATTAAAAAAATGTTTTAGAAAGCAGTAAGAAAGCTGTCTCAAATAAAGCCTTAACCAGTCCGTTCTATCAAATTCAGCTAGAATTGAGTGGTTTTTGTATCAAATTGAGTTAGGTTTAGGTTTCCTCCGGTTAAATTAGAGCCTGTTGATAGGCTCAAATCAAAGATTAGGGTTCTTTATTAGAACACTAACAATTAATTATGTCATAATTGACTAGTAAAAATGAATATAATATATTTGAAAGCAAATTTATATATAAGGAAATTAAATTAATTTTTTAAAAAAATTAAACATATTAAAATTATATTGAGTTATCCATCAATTGCATTTCATATTTTAGATATATAAAATAATTTCAGTGTAGCTCAAAATTTAGTTTGATCTAGTTTGAATTGTTTTGATTGAGTCATAAATTTAAGATCAACATAACACAAAAATTTGCAGGTGATAGCTTACATGTAAGAATTGAATTAGGGCTAATCAATCACAACATTATATAAAAAAATAAAGATTTGATGATAAATTATGGCTTTATTTGATATGATTTTTTTATTGCTTTTTAAATAGCGTTCAAGTATAAAAGATTATCGAATTAAAAATTTTGTACTAGAAAATTGCTTTAAAAAGTAGGAATAAAGTTGTTCCAAATGAATTTTTTTTGGTGCAGATGTCGGGAGTCGAAGTTGACGTCAATAAAATACATCAACATTTTTGAAGATTACCTGCATCAATATTATTGGTGAAATCGACAAGCGGTGAAGTCAACGAGAGTTAATGTTTATTTCGATAGCTGGCATTGACCTTATAGTGATGATGTGTGCATCAACATTGGTGGTGATAGTGGGTGACAAAATTAGCGAGCATCTACATTTATGTTGATTACGTACAGTAGCCTTGCAGGCGATAAAGTGTGCTAGCTAGTAGTTGGGCGATGCTTGTCGTTTGCAATGATTGTCAATGCTAATCATCAGACAGAGCTCTCTCTGACTACAATTTTAGGTGTAGCTCCAAGCTCTCAAATTTTTTCATCAACGTTCAAGCACAAATATGGAATCCGTCCTCACACACGAAAAATAAGTTCTATTCATAGTTTTCTATAGCTAAGTAAATTAATATGATTTTACATAAATTATGTTCATCATGACAAGTAAATTACAAATGAATCCCGAATTTCTACCTTTAGGCTTCATTTGGGGCAACTTTTTTTTCTGCTTTCTAAAACAATTTTCTATTACATAAATTTTTTGAACTAGAAATTTTTATACTAAAAAACTGTTTTAAAAAGCTGTAAAAAGACCGCCTCAAACGAAACCTTAATCTTCCCCCTCTATCATTTCCTTCAAGAAGAGGATAGAGTTGAAAAGCAGTTAATCATCTTCAACACGTATCAACAATTTTCCCATGCTTTGGGAACTCTTCTTCCCCACACTTGTGACCAACTAATGGAATTATCTTCTAAAATAAATGACAATTAATTTTATATATTCAAAAAATTAATTATTTTTTAATTATATATAATAATATATTAAATATCTCAAGGAGCATAATAAATTTCTATTTTTTTATTTTTATAAAAATTGAAATATTTAATATAGATTAAATAAATTTAGATGGCTTGAAATTTTTTTTTTTCAGAAAATAAAAAAATTATTTATTTATTCTTTGTTACTTGGTTACAGTGCTCACTTGGCCTGAGCACTCGAAGAAGTCACGCAAGAGGAAGAGAACGCGTTGATTTTGAACTTATCTGCATAGTTATAATCCAATTAAAATTTAATTAATTTATTGATAATAATATAATATACTATAAATAAAATAAATAATATAAAATTACATTTATGGCTTTTTTTAATTAAAATTAGAATTTTTTTTGGAACTGTTTCTTAACAGACTTATCTTTCCGGCAAGCAATTATAATTTCATTTGTCTATTACTTTCTTCAATTGTATTGTTAAAAATTAATAACAAAAAATAAAAATTCTAGTTTAATAAAAGTTACAATCATTCCAAATAAACATTTATATTCATTTGAAACAGTTACATACTATTTTTTCAAAACAACTTTTTAATATAAAAAATTTATTAATAATAAAATTTTGTACTTTAAAATTGATTTAAAAAATAATAAAGAAGCTATCCAAACGAAGCTTTGCTAACTTTATTTTGAAAAATTAAGGTTTAAAAGCTGAAGCAAAATATGATTGAGGATTATCCCCATAATTGTAAATGCCCGCCCAATCGCCTTATAAGATCCGACCCGCCCAATCGCCTTATAAGATATTTATAAGAAATACCTCACGTCACCAATCCACACATTCCATCTCACTGACACCTGGCAGCCTCAAAGCAAATAAGCCAATAGCTATCAACCACGTAGGATAGTCAAATTTTTTGGTCCAACTCCTTAGAAGGCCAACCCAAGGAAGCCTGGCTTCAACTTAGATTGATCTATGATCTCTCTATCTATGAACCCCCACTCCATACATTCCTTTTGCTAAGTAAACTCTATTGCTTTGCGCCTAAGAGAGTGAGATGACAAGCATTCTCTTGCTTTGAAGCTACTTCAATTTCTCCTTATATATACATCATCAACTACATCATATGAATATCATCAAAATTTTTTAAAAAATATAGGTCAAAATTAAAGTAAAAAAAAATGTTCGCCTTTTCCTCTTCGCCACTACAAATGTCGTTCTTACTTGCAGCCATTTTAACCTCATTACTTACTGTAACAGTTTCAAGCATCGATGGTATCGGCACAACTGATATCAATTATTCTTCTATCCAACGTGATCATCAGAGGTATTCATTTAGTATGTGTTTCTAATAATTATTCATCGTATTAGAGTTGTGTACGTGTTTTTACTATTTTTGCTTGATTTTCTGGTAGGGGGTATGAGTTAGAGATGGTTAAGACGAAGGGGAATCAATTCGTGGTAGGAGGGAAGCCTTTTTATGTGAATGGGTTCAATACCTATTGGCTCATGATTCTTGCGGTCGATCCTTTGACGAGGGTGAAGGTCACAGAGACGTTTAAGCAAGCTTCTGCAATTGGTCTTACTGTCTGTCGGACTTGGGCCTTCAATGATGGCGGATGGAGGGCGTTACAGAAAGCTCCTTTTGTTTACGATGAAAACGTCTTTCAGGTATAGTATCACGTTCTATATATGTTCATTCGTATATAAACATATTTTTTTATAAATTTAAGACTATGAAGAACATACATGAATGCATGAATGCCATGCATCCATATGATAACAATGATCATTTTATTTACTATAATGTATTTTTTAATAATTGGATCTAATTAAATATTGCATCAAGCAAGAAATAAAATATTGTTTCATTAGATACAAATGTTCCATAACTTTTATTATATTTATTTCTATCAAATAACATTTGTCAAATTGTTTTTAGATAAATTATTACCAAATTAAAGCCTCATTTAACAGCATATTTAATAATGAGCATATCCATGTGAATATACACTTATTAAAAATATAAAAAAATTAAATAGAACAACTAAAACTCACTAATCTTTCTTCATTAATTATGCATTATAATTATGGATTAATCATAATGATTTCTTCTGTGAATATTTAATTATTTTTTCTTTTCTTAATCACTTTTTCAGGCACTTGATTTTGTGATTAGTGAGGCAAAGAAGAATAATATTAGGCTGATACTGTCATTAACAAATAGTATGGAAGGATATGGTGGAAAGGCTCAGTATGTGAAGTGGGGAAAAGCTGCAGGTTTGAATCTTACTTCTGATGATGACTTCTACACTAATCCCATTGTGAAGGGCTACTACAAAGCTTATGTGAAGGTAAGATCATCTTCTTTAATTATATTTTAATGGTATAATATATTTATTTTACATAAAATTTTCTTCATTTGAACAAAAATAATTTTTTTATTTGAACTTTTAATCAAAATAATTCCTATTATTACAAATTAAACAATCTCTTTTAGTTTGCAAATTACCATTTTACTAGTTTAATTATAAAAAAGTCGTATAATAATTATCTTCATGAAAATCATAATGCCTTTTTTTTTGGGCAGCTAATTGTAATGTGTATGAATTAGGCCGGGAGTCAATGAGTCGAGCCGGGTTTTAGTTACTCCTATTTTGAGCTTGAAGTTCGTTAAGCTCAAGCTTAATTCTATGAGTTCGAGTTAGCTCACGAGCCGACTTCACTTATTAGAGTAAATGATAATGATTCAAGCAATTATTATAATAAAATGTTAAAATTAGATGAAAATTTATACGAGAAATAATAAATAATCACTTGATATAAAAAATGAGATATAATTTTTGAATATTTTTAATAACTTAATGTTTAAACATATGAATTCTAATACATTTTAAGTGTGTTTTATATTAATATTTTTTAAACGAGCAGACTTGCTAGCCAACAAAGTTGAATTGAAGCTAGTTCAAGCTTGATTCAGTAGCTGATCGAGCTAGCTGAACTTGAGCTAGCTCACAAACCAGGTTGATGTAAAACTTTACCTTTCTTATATGTAGCTTCACAATAGCCACATTTTATGTAGGGCCATAAATTCATGATTTGAAGTTTTGGATAAGGTTTTGATTAATCATAAATGAAACCTTATCTTCGCCAATAATATTATGGCACATTTCATTAATTTGATGTGTGGCATTTAAGGATTATGTGAATTTAAATAGTTTTATCATTAATTTTTTTGTAATATATATTTCTAGCAAATATGGTGCCTTTTAGGCTTCGTTGGGGACGACTTTCTTTTTGTTTCTTAAAGCTATTTTAATAAGCAATAAGAAAGCTATCCCAAACAAAGCTTTAGTTGAGAATTTTAACTTGTTGCCTCACCTCATATTTAAGCACATTAAGGGCATCTCCAACCGAACGGCAAACACTTGTTTGCCGTTCTTGCTTTGCTCCAATCGATCGCCATTTTTGACGCCATTTGATCGTGGATGAACAGTGCGACGCCAATATTGGCGTTGCACTGTTCATCTGCGCCATTTTTTCTCTCTCTACCGAACAGGTTGAGAAGAAAGGCGCGAAAGAAAACGAACGTTTTTAGCGGCAAAATGGTGTTGAATTGGAGATGAAACACGGCATTTTTTGATTTCCCTGCAAAATGCAGTGAAAAATGAGATTCTCGGTTGGAGATGCCCTAACCCACTAATTTTTAATAAATTACACTTTGATGCGTATCTCACCCCCCAAAAAAATTATGATTTTATTTGGGCCAGTTTAAACTTTTTATTTTTACTTAATGTCTCAGCTATAATTTAAAAAATACTTATTCATACTCAAATATTTGAAGTAAAAAAAAAAAAAAAAGATAAAAAAATCTATCTTCTGAAGGTACATTATTTTTTATTAACTAATTTTCTTACCAAGAAATCAATCAAAAAAACTCTTTCAAATAAAGGCTATATCAATTTGCATTCAGATTATTTTTTTTTACTAAAGATTCATTAAGAGAAAATGAAGACTTTTATTTTCATGAAATTAAAAATTTTTAAAGAAAAAATTAAGAAGAGTGATGAAGTTTAAATTCATGTTAGAATCTAACTACAATAATAAATCTTATTATTTAAAAAAAAAATGATATTTGATTAGAATGACATTTTCACCTTCAAATGATAAGAATAATTTTTTGCCTTTTTATTTCTTACAACAACAATAACATCAAGCTTTTATTTATGAAGCATTTTTTCTCCATTTTCTTCTATTTAGAGTTAAATTCTCATTTAAATCTAATAAGAAAATAATTTCTAATATTTTCTAACCAAGTCTTTTTAGATCTATCTGTACCTTTCCTAATATAAGCGGGATCTAATACATCTACTCTCCCAACTGAGTCATGGAAAGGCCGCCATTTTATGCACCCAAACCAAACTAAGACAATTGATTCTAGCTATACTTATCTGTCGTTGGAGCTACTCCAACTTTTTCACACATATACTCGTTTAGTATTTTGTTTCTAAGGCTTCGTTTGACTCTGTTTATTAAAAAAAATTGCTTTAAGAAGCAGTAAAAAAATCCTCCCATATGAAGCCTAATTGTAAAACTACTTATTCATCTGTATATCTTCATTTCTACAAAACTTAACTTAATTTTATGCTTCTCTTTTTTGACCAACATTATAACATATTTATTTCTCAAGAAATGAATATTTAAAGCAATTTTAGAGAGCACCATATTAAAACCATTTATTTTGTAATCTATAATTTTAATTAGAACTATAATATAAATTCAAAATAAATTATAATGTTAGGTTTCTTGTAGCTTTGTTCTTTCTAGAGGGCAAAAGGGTAAGTTTAAATTGGCACGTTAGGCAGCTTTTTTCAAGGCTTTATTATTTTTAGTCAACCTGTTGAAATTATATTTGACTATTATTTTTAAGCAATTTATCTAATAAAAATCAACTTCTTACAATCACATACGCTAAGATAATTTTTAAGAAATTTTTATAGTTCAAATTTTTATTCATAATAATTTTTAAAAAATTTATTTTTCTACAATAATTCAATATATAGTTCTTTCCATAAAAAAGGTTTGTAGGAAACTCGGCGTACTTATTATTTTTTAAAATAATTTTTTAGTATAAAAATTTTAATTTTGTACTAAAAAACTGCTTTAAGAAATAGTAAGAAAGTCATCCCAAACTAAGCTTAATTTAGACTTTAATTGGGATAGCTTTAAACTACTATTTTCTTTTTACTTATTTTCGACATTTTTTTTACTAAAAAAAGTACCTTTACAAAATAATAAGAAAGGTTTCCTATATTGAATTTGTTTGCATGACCAGACGGTTCTCAATAGAGTCAACACCTTCACCAACATCACATACAAAGAAGACCCAACAATTTTTGCATGGGAACTGATCAATGAACCTCGCTGCCTTTCTGATCCTTCAGGCAACAAGCTACAGGTGACTATTTTTAGCTAGCTCCTTATAAGCTTTAGCTTCCATTAAACTACTTACTATATTCAACTATTGATGATCAACATGAACAAATTTCAGTCATGGATAGAAGAAATGGCATTTCATGTAAAATCGATCGACCCGAAGCACCTGCTCGAGATCGGGCTCGAAGGATTCTATGGAAACTCGACTCCGGATCGCTTTCAGTTCAATCCCGATAGCTACTCCGGTCAAGTCGGCACCGATTTCATTAGGAACCATCAAGCCATGGGCATTGATTTTGCCACAACCCACCTTTATCCAGATGCTTGGTAGATATCTGATAAATGTGATCATATTTGTATGACAATGAATAATTCTGATAACTTTGGTACTCTTATTGATAATGCAGGCTATCGAATTCGAACCCTGAAGATCACCTTGAGTTCGCCAAATCCTGGATGCAAAGCCACATTGATGATGCAGAGAATGTGCTTGGAATGCCGGTCGTGTTCGCCGAATTCGGAATGTCGGCGAAAGACAAGAACTTCAGTGTGAGCTCAAGAAATCAGTTCATTGATATGGTTTATAAGACCATTCTGAACTCTACAAGGAGAGGAGGAGGTGCAGGAGGTTGCCTTCTGTGGCAGATTTTCCCAGAAGGAACTGATTTTATGGATGATGGCTATGCAGTCGTGCTTAAAACATCTAAATCCACAGAAAAAATCCTATCTTTGCAGTCAAAGAAATTAAAGAAGTTCAATTCAAAGTGTTCATGGAGGTGCAATTGGACTTGCAGAAAGAATTAGTCTTCTCAGCATAATCAACTCTGATAAAATTATTTGAATGTATAGTTAATTATTGATTGATTGCATTAATGAATCAAATCTGTACAGATTTGTAAATATTACATCATACCTGTAAAAATATATACAAATAAACTTTTATGTAAAATGTTGTATTACATGGATTCTGCATGACTGTAATGGTTTAAATAAAATGTCATTATCATTCACTGTTGATTGAAGTATTGTTCTTGCACTACCAAATAAAAGTTTTTTTTTTCTTTTATAGAAATCCTTCTTTTCTCATCGGTTTAGACTGCTACTATTTGTTGCGGTTTTAATAACTGCAAATAGCACCGGTTTTGACCATTGCCAAAAAATTTTCTCCTCTTATACGTGACCCACCGCATTCGACTTGCTCTAATTCTTCCTCTTCTTCGTTTCGTGCATTCCCTGCCTTGGATCGAAGAGTTTCTTTCGTGCTGTGCCCACTACAGGAAAATCTGTTATTACCGGCGGACAGAATCCGCCGGAACTAATGTAAAATCCGACGGAACCGTTCGTTTCCGGCGCATGTTCCGGCGCAAATCTCTCCGCCGGTTTTGGGTGCGTCGATAATTTTTTTAGGCGCCTATGATTCATGCATTCCGTGCCTTCGATCGGACGATTAAAGTTCTTTTGAAGCCCTCATTTGCTCGCTCATCCCGGCCGGTCGTGTGCTTAATTCTACTTCTTCTTCTCCTTCGCCGGTTTGTGTTCCATTCCTATTCTTCTATAGCTTTGTGGATTCATTTCTATGCTTGTGCTCTTTCCATTCCTAGAGTACTAACCTAACCATATATATGCTCATCTATGTTGGTCATCTCAAATGACTATCAAATCATAGTAATTAGGGCTTTGTGATCTCAATATTTTGCATAAGAGTTGTCGTCTGAACTGAAGATCTAATACTTGAATTTCTGTCCTAAAAGATAAAATAGAATAAATAGAATATTGCAAAAGAACTGATTTTTTTCAAAGAAAGAAGATCTCTTTAATTTTTAACAGTGTTGTTTTGTCTGTAGCTGAAGCAGATAAGGCTTTCAAGAGAATCTGTAACATCTACCTTAAAAATCTGCCATTCTGTCGTTATCTTACCGATGAGGATGGAGTTGAAAAGCAGCTTATCATCTGCAACACGTATAAGCAATTTTTGATGCGTTAAGGCCTCTATTTCTCGACAACTGTTTTCAGTTTTTAGAATAATTCTTGTAAGAAATTAGCATCAAAATCGTACAAGAAAAAATCAGCCATTATTTTCATTTTCATTAAATTCATTACAAGCAAGCGAGATGCATATAAATATATGAATTTATTAGTTTATTTTTAGATAAAATATGTCATTATTTTCGTTAAAATAAGTAAATTATTCATTTTTTTCATAGTTACCGTAGAAGGAAGAAGAAGAACAAAAGAGAGAATGGGTACTGTATGCATGCAGCTGAGATTTTGAACTTATCTGCACGTGGTACCGAGCGAAGCAGTGACATGACACATTCTGATTGATCTCCATATAGCGCTCGGTGTCCGCATAGAATAATTAATCCAAAGATGAACCCAAAATCATCCACAATACGTATCAAATTTGAAGGGTATTATTCGCATTTAATAAGTGTGGTTCAGGATTTCATGGGTAAATTTTCAATAATTTTAGTTCCTCTTCACTTTATAAAAAAAAAAATTTAATAAAAAAAAAAAAAAAAAAAAAAAAAAAAAAAAATCATTACACATACCATCACATATAAAATTGATGCACGCCATTAACACCAAAGTTTATATATGTTGACTTTGTCGTCTACGATCACTCAAAACGTCAATATAATGTAGCTAAGTATCAATTTTTTTTTAAAAGTTGGCAAAGTCGGCTATTTTGTTGCTGACTTAGATTTGTTGAGTCAACTATAATAGTAGCAAGTCGCTTGGTAAGTGGGCGGCTTGCAACAATCATAGATGATGCAACTTCTTTTAGAATTTTCTGCATTTAAATTTCTTTTTTGATACTTAATTACAATATCTACTTTAAAAATTTGTCACATATAAAATTGTTGCACATCATTAAAACTAAAGTTTTCGTTAACTTTGTCGTCTACAAATGCTTAGAAAGTTGATGTATGCTAGCGATACCAACTCTGATTCTTGATTTTAACTCAAAATATATACTAAACCTTAGTTTTTAATCTCATCTCTTCAAAGGAGAACAATCACCAAAGTTTCTATTCTCCTCCATAAAATTTTAGCTATTGCTTTAATTGAAAGGTGAATTAAAAACTGAAGCAATTTTTTCTCACTATCTCAATACTGAATATCCTTATAGAAAGGATGGGGGATGGCTAATGGGTAATAGCTTCTTAAAACAACCTTAGTATACAAAAATTAAAATTTTTATACTAGAAATCTGCTTTAAGAAGCAAGATATACTAAATTTTTTTTAAGAAGTAATAAAAAAGTCATCCCAAACGAAACCTTCGTCCTCTTATTAAAAAGTTTGTGTTTATTAAGTAAGAAAATTGAATAAGAATAGATATTTTGAGCTCAATTTTTAGTCGAGTGGAATATAAATAGATTCTTTTTATTGTTTGTGGCTCATTATTGTCTTGAAAAAAACAAATAAATAAATAGTTAAAATCATATTGTTTAGATTTACTAATTGATTAGTAGATAAGTTGATTGATTCTATTATGTTCCGTTCAAATTCTAATGAGCCGAATACAAATTTTTTATTCATAAATTAATATTCAATATTTTTTAATGAGCCTAAAAATATAATTAATCCATAATCTTTAATTAAAAAAACTTTTAGCCATAACAATAATTAACTCTCTATTAAAAATGTGATTAAACATTCTAAAAATGCACTAAAATCTTTTTATTTGCACTTTTTACTGAAAAAGTGGAAATGAACATTATAATATTTAGTCACAATATTAAAAAAAAAGAAGATTTTAGCTAAAAATATCAAAGTTTTTGAGTTTTAGTTAGTAAGATTTAAACAAAAATAAGAGCATGTTAGAGAGAAATTATGGTTTAAAGGAGGTCTATAAGTGATTAAGTGCACTCAATGAAAAAATTTATATTCATTCTTATATATAAGACTTATTTATGTTCGTTTATTTATATAATTCAACAAATTTAAACAAATATTAAAATGCTCTTCATGTAAATGAGCAAGTTTGAACAATGAGCTATTTATTCATTTATATTCATGAATATGATAATTTGTCATTTAACAAATAATTCACTAAAACTTTAATAAATGCTCATTTAATAATAATTTAGGCTTCATTTGAGATAGTTTTTTTATTACTTTTTAAAACAGCTTTATAATATCAAAATTTTAATTTAAAATTTTTTGTTCAAAAAAATTACTTTAAATGTTAGAGAGAAATTATGTTTTAAAGGAGACCTATAAGTGATTAAGTGCACTCAATGAAAAAGTTTATATTCATTCTTATATATATATAAGACTTATTTATGTTCATTTATTTATATAATTCAACAAATTTAAACAAATATTAAAATGCACTTCATGTAAATGAGCAAGTTTGAATAATGAGCTATTTATTCATTTATATTCATGAATATAATAATTTTTCTTTTTTCATTTAACAAATAATTCATTAAAATTTTAATAAATGCTCATTTAATAATAATTTAGGCTTCATTTGAAATAGCTTTCTTATTGCTTTTTAAAATAGCTTTATAATATCAAAATTTTAATTTAAAATTTTTTGTTCAAAAAAATTACTTTAAAAAGCTATAAAAATATCGTCCCAACGAAGTCTTAATTGCTTATTTGATAACTTATTCTATATTCTTGAATCATTTTGTTTAATCATTTGCATATTAAAAATTATTTATATTATCAGAGGTATATATGTTATAAAAACATCAAATCAATAGCTTAATATATAACTAGATTTAATTATTTTCTTCTTAAAATAAAAAATTCATCAAATAACTTAAAATAATAAACACTTTTAAATTAAAATCCATAAATTCAAATATTTATACTGATTAAGCTGTATACTTAAACTATCAACATCAGATATATAATTAATTAGACTTCATTACAACTAAAAACTAAACTTGAAAAAAAAAAATTCAGATCACGTTCCAGATCGATCAGAATCAGGGGCAAAACCAGCCTTTCTTTTGATCAGAGAAACAAAAATATGATTGGAATGCATGATTTTATATATGAAATAGAAAATAAAATCTTTTCTTAGAATTTGAGCAACTGCATTTACTGAAAATCTAAGAGCAAAATAGTTAAAATGCTTATTTTTCTAAGGAAAAAAAAAAACTTCAGAGTGAGCAATTGCCCACACTGAACTCTTCAAGATTCCACCACTGATTAGAACTTAATAAAAAAAGAGTTTTAATTAGATAATACTCAGCTCAACTCGATTCATTTATCACCCTATCAAATGCTCTAAATCTAATAATCCAAAAAAGTTATTGTCCTCTCATTTCAATCTAATCGGATCAAATCAACCCAATCCAAACTTACGAAGAACAAACACTAATCCTCCCCCCATAACGATAAGATCAAGTCATATCAGCTGAATCTTGCATGGCCACCTCCACTTCCTCAAACCAAATAAACCAATAAAAACTAGCCAGGTCCGATGGTCAAATTCTCTGGTCTAACTTGCATGTACGTACCTTCTCCTAATAGGCCAACCAAAGACTCTTCCCGTTAGTGTGATATCTATCTATATGGCTCTATTCTTTTGGCTTAGTCTCTTCATGTCAACACTTCGCACGTAAGAGAGAGGTAACCACAAGCTTCCTCTTGCTTCCAAGCGACGGCAATATAAGCTTTCTACCATGGACTTCTCAGCTCCTTATATATATATAGCTCAAACAATCTCACATGAACACACAATCAAACTCTTTAAAAATATATAAAGCTCAAAGCAAACAAAAATACAATGTTCTCCTTCTTCTCTTCACCTCTTCAACAATTCTTCTTGATTGTAGCCATTTTAGCTTCATTACTTACTACAATCAGTACTGCAAATATCGGCTATGTTGAAACCAATCGTAGTTGGTATATATATGTATTCATTATACTACAAGAAAGCATGCTGTTAACGGCGGACAGAATCCGCTAGTTATTTCCGGCGAAATACCGGCGAAAACTATTCCAACGGCAATTCCGGCAATATTGGCCGGGAATTCTGCCGGTAATTTAGCGGCAGCATATGCGCCGGAAACCCTTAAAATACCGGCGAAAAGCCGGCGGAATATGCGCCGGTGTTTCAAAGGCGAAATTTGCACCGGACATTTCACCGTTAAGTTACCAGCGGATATTCCGCGGTTTTACCGACGTAAATATGTTTGTTGGAACGTTCGACGATAATGATAGATTTTCCTGTAGTGTTCTTTGTTCATTTTGCTTTGTTCTTGATCATAATAGGGCAATATGTGTCTTCCAGGAGGCAAGAACAGGTTGATGAAGTGAGGATGGAGATGGTTGAGAGGATTGGAAATCATTTTGAAGAAGGAGGGAGACCTTTCTACGTGAATGGTTTTAATACCTACTGGCTTATGGCTCTTGCAGCTGATCCTTCGACGAGGGGGAAGGTGACAGAGACATTTGCAGATGCGTCGTCGGCTGGTCTCACAGTTGGCCGGACTTGGGCCTTCAGTGATGGCGGCCAGGGGGCGCTGCAGAAATCTCCTTCTGTTTATGATGAAAATGTCTTCAAGGTATTTCATATATCAGGCTATATATATATATAGCTCTTATGAACTCGAGATCATAAAGAACTTTCATGCAGAGCAATAATATGTGACAATAATGATGATTTTATTCTATATATAAACATAATTTTAATAATTGAGTCTAATGTTTTTTTTGAAATGATGGAAATTGAGATCCAACAAGGATTCAATCGCAATAATATAAATATTATATATTAAATTTAAGGGGGGGTATTTACATAAATATATATCACTTTATATCATGACATTTACATATCTAACACTCAAAATTTTAATATTTCTAATCCATACCACCTTGTAAGTTTTAATATCAAATATGACACTCATATATTTCTTTCCTACCACCCATACGGTCTTATAAATTTTAATATTTCATTCTTTGCACCCATATATATTTAATCTACAGGTGATATGTATGAAATATTAAAATTTTGGGTGTTAGATATGTAAATATTATGATATAAAATGGTATGCACGTAAATCTTCCTAAATTTAATTAAAATTATTTAAATGATGAAAATTTTCTAATAATAATAATAAATAAGAAATAATTTGCATATATATATATATAAATAAATTCTTATGAAACAATTGAGATTCTATGCAAATCGAACTTTTTAATCTGATTGAATCAATTTGAGGACCGGTTCAAAGTCTTAAGTAGTTTATGTTCAGTCCAATTTTCACAATCAAGATTGAATCATTAAATTGCATCAAACAAGAAATATGTTATTGTTTTATTTGATATAAGTAACATTGTCTCATTAAAAAAGAAAAATTTGAGTTTGAGCTACAAGAAATGTTTGTTGAATTTTTATTAGATTTATTTCTATCAAAAAGCTCAACCATTTGTCAAAGTTTTCTTTGATAAGTATGGCATCCAAAGTGAAACAAGTGCATTAAATTAATATTCTATTGATTAATAGTAAGGCTACATGCTCTCTTATATTGGAAAAATTATTCTGTGCGGTGTTCAGAAACGTTCGGAGGCAAATCCGAACGTGTCACGCATTGGGTGATGTGGTGTGTTCGGATTGACCTCCAGACGTGTTCAGACACTGCACAGAATAATCTCTCCTTACATTTGTTATTATCTTAAGTTGAAAATAAATTTTTATCAAAATGTAAAATTTTATATTTTTTATTAAAGTTTTATTTAGAAATATTGAGTGTTTGTGCATAAAGTAAATTATATGTTTAATTGACATAAAGTTATTGTGATATTAATATGAATGATTATAATGATAATATGATATATTATTCATAAAAATATATATTTAATTAATATAAAGAATTTTTTTTTATTAAATAGAACAATTAAATTTCATGAAATATTTTTTTCCTAGAAATTCAACTAAAGTACTATATGTCAGTCTAAGCATGTATTTTACATGCAATTTTTGTAAATAATTTATGTATTAATTTTGTATATCATAATTATTATATGAATATAATGATTTCTTATTAAAGGACTTAGTTGTTTTCTATTTTGTTTTATAACTTTTTTAGGCACTTGATTTTGTGGTTAGTGAGGCAAAGAGGCATAATATTAGGTTAATACTGTCATTAACAAATAATTGGAAAGATTATGGTGGAAAGGCTCAGTATGTGAAGTGGGGAATAGCTGCAGGCTTGAAGCTTAGTTCTGATGATGATTTCTTTAGTGATCCCACTGTGAAAGGCTACTACAAAGCTCATATCAAGGCAAGCTAAGTAATTATTATTTTTTTGTTTATTTATAGATATAAAGGATTAAAATGGTCTCCAAACTATTTACGAATGATAAAAAATGATCTTCTACTATTTAAAAGTCTTATTTTAGTCCAGTGACTGCTCAAATAAAGGCTGAGGTTTCGTTTGGGACGGCTATCATGCTACTTCTTAAAGCAGCTTTTTAGTACAAAAATTTTATTTTATTTACTAAAAAACTACTTTAAGAAGCAATAAAAAATTCGTCCCAAATGAAGCCTATGACTTTGTTTGGGACGGCTTTCTTACTGCTTCTTAAAACAGTTTTTAGTAAAAAAAATTAATTTTTTACTAGAAAGCTGCTTTAAAAAGCATATTTTTGTGCTAAAAACTGCTTTAAGAAACAGTAAGAAAGCCGCCCAAACAAAACCTAAATGACTTCACAAAGTAACTAATTTGGTCATTATTTAAAGAATTAATAGATCAAATTAATACTTTTATATAGTTAGAGACTATTTTAATCCTTCAAAAAAGTTACGGGACTAAATCATTCGTTTCTCTTTATTTATATTTCCATGGCATGATAAATTGTATCTAATATCTAAATTTTGATAATTATTTATATAATATTTCAGTATTTTAATCATGTTAAAATACATGCATGAAAAAAATTTGATATATAGCTCCTATAAAATCATAAATTGATAAATATGTAAAATTCATAAATTTTTTGGGTGATCAGACGGTTCTCAATAGAGTAAATACCTTCACAAACATCCCATACAAAGAAGACCCAACAATCTTTGCATGGGAATTAATGAATGAACCTCGTTGCCAAGCTGATCCATCAGGCAACAAGCTACAGGTAACTATTTCTTCTAATCTAATCAACTACTGAACCATCATCAGCTAGCTATTGATTGTGAATGAATTTGTAGTCATGGATAGAAGAAATGGCACTCTATGTAAAATCGATTGACCCGAAGCACCTACTTGAGATTGGGCTCGAGGGCTTCTATGGACCCTCGACGCCTAATCTTCTTCAGTTCAATCCCAACACCGTCGCCAGTCAAGTCGGCACCGACTTCGTCAGGAACCATCGAGCTCCAGGCATTGACTTTGCCACAGCCCACATCTATCCAGACACATGGTAAGTGTCAATATTTGACACCACCTGAAAATCCGACTCGAATCCGACCCAAAAATTTCAAGTTATAGTCAACCTGAACCCGAAACGGGTCAGGTTTGGGTTCAACAATTCAACCAGTTTCAAAAATCGGTTTGGATTCGGGTTGACCCTTTGACCCATTTTGACCCGAAAACCTGATTTGACCCAGCAACCCGAGATTGTCCCATTTTTTACTCGAAAAGCGGAGATTGACCCCATTTTTTGACCTGAAAACTGCTAGTTTTTTGATGGCACCGGGTTATTCGGGTCATGTCGGGTTGATCTAGACCCGAAGCGGGTCGGGTTCGGGTCCGAAAAACCGGCCCATTTGCAAAAAAATGGGTTGGGTTCGGGTTGACCTGAATAGTGTCGGGTTAGTATCGTGTTCGACTAGAACCCGACCCGTGACCCAAAATTTGCACCCCCTACAATTAACCAATTTCTAGCCAGCTAGCTAGCCAGCTGACCATCCTAACTGTGCTACAATGATGCAGGGTATCGAGTTCGATCCCGAGCAATCACCTTCCATTCACAAACTCCTGGATGCAGAGCCACATTGATGATGCAGGGAATGTGCTCGGAAAGCCGGTATTGTTCGCCGAGTTCGGCGAATCGACAAAAGACAGTAACTTCAGTGTTGGTTTCAGAGATCAGTTCATTAGTACAGTTTATACCAACATTCTGAACTCCATAAGGAGAGGAGGGAGTGCTGCAGGTGGCCTTCTATGGCAGCTCTTCCCTGAAGGGACTGATTACATGGATGATGGTTATGCAGTTGTGCTTGCAAGATCAAAATCTACATCAAGTATTATTTCTCTGCAGTCAAGGAGATTGCAGATGTTCAACTCCAGATGTTCATGGAGGCGCAAATTGATTTGCAGAAGGAATTAGAGCACTGAGGATGTTAATATATATTTGGATGGATAGCTATTGAGTATGTACTGAATCCATATATATGTAAATGTATGATTGAAAATGTTATGTGAATGTTAGATTATGTGGAATACACATATGTTTTCTATGTTGTGCTTGTATAGGGATTTTGTTCTAATAAAACTTATATATTGAAGTGATTCGGCTTATTTAAGGCTTTGTTTGAGACGACTTTCTTACAGCATCTTAAAATAACTTTTTAGTATAAAAATTTAATTTTTTGTATTAGAAAACAGCTTTAAGAAGTAGTAAAAAAAGAGTCCCAAATGGAGCCTAAGTTTAGGTTCATGTTTGCACAGAGGTCGAATAATCTTATAAACATCAAAATTAAAGAGTATATGAAACCGGGGCCCAACTTTTTAGTTTTTTTTTTTTTTTTTTGAATTAAAAAATTTGTACTAGAAAACTGTTTTAAGAACACTGTCCCAAACAAAACCTAAATTACAAGCCTAAGCATACATTGTAATTATATTTGCAAATTAATACAATTTTTTTGGAACTAAATTTTTTTATGAAATGTAAACATAAACATTTGAGTAATCAACCATAAAAATAAAATTATAACTTATTCAAAGATTTTGATGCCCATAAAAAGAGATAAAGACAAAAAATACCTAAATTTTTGCAATTTAAAACTTTTATTTAAATAGGTTACAAAAAGATTTCTTAAGCAACAAATATTTTGATGATATATTAAAAAATTATTGCATAAAGAAATGACTTACTCTAAACTTATGTAGTTATCTTTGCTATGTCTATAAATGAATCACACATAGAATATAAACATAAGATTGAAATATGAATAAAGTTTTATTAAATCAAATTCTCTACTAGTATTCCTCAAATTATCCATCTATAGGCTAATTATATTGCTAAATAAGTTATATAGTTGCCCATTTAAAAAAAAGCCCAACATTCAAGTTTAAACAAATCTAAAGCCCATGGGCTTATTCAAATTTAACCGCATTTCCATTTATTCTTTATCCAATCATAAATCTCTCCCAATGCATAATAATTTTTATGAGAATTTTTTTAATAAGTTCTTTTTTATTAAAAAAAAAATGTTTTGCTTTACATTTTTAAATAATATTTTTATTTTAGGTGTCCAATGGCCGGATTTTCTCCAATTTTTTATTACCAAATTCAGTCATCAAATAAATATTAATGACAAGATTAAAATCTGTCCAAATTAAAATATAATTAAATAGGCTATGCTTTACATTTTTAAATAATATTTTTATTTTAGGTGTCCAATGGATTTTCTCCAATTTTTTATTACCAAATTCAGTCATCAAATAAATATTAATGACAACATTAAAATCTGTCCAAATTAAAATATAATTAAATAGGCTAAATTTGATAATTAATTTGTAAGGTATAATTAAATATTATAGTAATTGTAGATAATTAATTATCAAATTTACTTGTTCCAAAAGGTTTTTTATTTTTCAACAATGTGTTGTATTTCTTTGGGTTTTTTTTAGTATGAGTATTCTTTGAATATTATCTCATGGCATTGAATTAGTCAGACATATTAATTATAGAGAAATAATAATTATATTATTTGTATATCACAACATGCCAATAGACTTAGGCTTCATCTGGGATAGATTTTTTATTACTTCTTAAAGCTGCCTTTTAGTAAAAAAATTAAAATTTTTATACAAAAATTTTACTTTAAGAAACAGTAAAAAAGCCGTCCCAAATGAAGCTTCAAGCTCAATCTTCCTTTGAGGCGAGGAAGGTTAAAGGTGTATACAAAAATCAAAATTTTTATACAAAAAAATTGTTTTAAGAAACAATAAAAAAGCCGTAAGCTCAATATTCCTTTGAGGCGAGGAAGGTTATAGGTGTAGTCTTTGAAGGCTAAGTTGCACTCTTGAAGGATTAATGATCACTCATCACTCGATGGGTCTACAGTTGCCCCTCGTCACTCGTTGGGTGATAGGACTACATTCGACCATTGCTAGTTCATGTGTATTTTTATATTTTCCTAACTACATACTTTTTGAACAACAAGTCCTATGTAAATTAAATAATATTTACATATATATTACTTTTTTCTTTAGCCACATAACTCTATAAATAAAAGATCATGCGACAATTTCAAAATAAAAGGAAATCATTTGGGAGTATTTGAATTCAATAACACAATCCTTATAATCTTTCTCTTCCTCACTCTATCCTTGTTTTTCTCCTTTTCTCTCTATCTACTGTTATGTTATATTGTGATACTTGTAAGTCTTAGAGGTAACGTCCAAGTAGAAGTGCACTATCAAAAAATAGGGCTATAGCAGCACAATTTTTTACTTTTCCAGACGATTATAATCGTTACATTTTACTTTGCAACGATTCTAAAGTCGTTACATTCCTACTGTGATTGTAATGCGCTGCAACGGCATTCAACAGCAGTTTCAAGACCTGTGGGGTAGATTAAAGAATGTGCTAGTTAGCAGTTGTTATAACTGATGCTAATTTTCAGATTTGCATCGGCTATAACTACCACAAAAATCAAAGCCTAAAATGATTTTCAGTATTGTGGCGGTTAAAACCGCCACAAATAACCAGAATAAAAAATAAAAAATGAATATCTACTGCAATCTCATGTGGTGTAATCAAGTCAAGTCGAGCTCGAGTCATCCCTGGCTTGAGCTTCAGCTTTATTCAACGAGTTCGAGCCTGCTCATTTATTATGAAATAGAAAAAAAATAATATTATTTAAGTAATTATTATAACAAAATATTAAAAATAATGATAAATTATAAGAAAAATAATAAACAATTATTTAATATAAAAAGTGAGATATAATTTTTAAATATTTTCAACAAGTTTATACTTAAATCATGAATTTTAATATATTTTAAATATAATTTACATTAATATTTTTTAAATGAATCGGCTTGCGAGCTAACTAGTCGAGTTGGGGTTGGCTTGTTAACTAAAATTAGCTCATAGAGCTCTGTTCACGAAGTATTTATCAAGTCGAACCCGATTTTTTTTTACGAGTGGGCTTGACTCAATTACTCCCAACGTCTAAGTATTATACACGAAAAATTTGGATCCAATAATATTTATAGTATATATTACAATGATTTTCTTAAAATAACAATACCGAATTAAAAAAACAATAATAGATAAACCAACGTTAATTAATGATAATTAACATTGAATTTTAAAAGTAATTAAACTAAAAATTAACATTAAAAATGGATAATTATTTACCCTCCATAAGGCCTCTATTAGTTCCATATCGTTTAGCTTCAACGTTAATTAGTGTTGAAATATTCAACATTTTTTAATTATAGCTTAGAATTTAATTAACATCAATAAAATTTAATTAAGTTTAAGTAGGCTTTGAATAATCAAATAATTTTATGTAGCAATTGATAATTATTTTTTAACTTATTAGGGATTTTTTATGCTAATTACGATTAACGTTGTGTTGTTCTTTGATTATGATAATTTGACCTAGCATTACTAATTAAGTTATTAATTAGCTTTTCATTGTCTGATGATTAACTTATATCTATGTTAATTAAGAAGTAATTAGCATTCTAATTAAAAATTATATGTGGCATGCCATATTTGACCCCAAAAATTTCATCAAATACGGTTAATTAGATAGACAAATCCCATTAATAATCCTCCTTTTAATTTCTCCATCAAATATTATATAAATTTATTTATTAAAATTATCAATTTGCAGAAGTGTTCAAACCTAACAGATGTCAAAAATTTTTTTTTTTTTTTGCAAAACTGTAATTGCAATATCCAAACAAAAACAAGAAATGATGTCGGATGAGTTAAATTTAACAAATACTTCTAATATGAGAAAAAAATTAAATATGTATAGTGAGTTTAATATGCATAATACTTAAATCAATTGTAAGTGTAATGCAAATATAGGTAATAATGAAATTTTACAATTAATTAGGGTATTTGTGAATAAATAAATGTTTGTGTCAATTATATTATAGTATTTCATCATGCAAAATAATATGGTTTAGAATTTTTTTATTCCATCAATAATAGGAGGATACAAACAAATCCAACAAAGAACAAAACAATAATTACAAGACTAAAACGTCAAAGAAGAGGTAACAAACATTAAGTAAGACACAAGCTAGCTGGGCTCAGTTATCGGCAAGAGGCTTTCTGCCAAACTCATAAAAGGATGGCAAGGACCATCCAGAGGAGGAAACAAGCACAACCCACATAGATGAAGCACAACCACACATCCCAAACTAAGGCCACCAATCAAAGTAAGAAGACGCACCACCCGTGGTTGCCAACAAGCCACTTCCGACCAGTTGGTGAGTTAGGATTTAAGATTTAGGGTTTATGGGTTTAGGGCACTAAACTGTAAGGCCATCTCCAACCGAAAAATTCAATTTTCACTCTAAAATGCAATAACTCGTCTCCAATCGAACTCCATTTTCTAACACAAAAAAGATCATTCTTTGTATATTCTTTCTAATACTAAATTTCATAACATAATTTCAATATTGTTGTCGCATTGTTCACCCTCACGCGAATAGCGAGTGTTTTGCCGATTGGATGGAGCAAGCGAGCGACTACAACGAGCGGCTGCAAACGGTATATGGAGTCACTCTAAACCGTAAATCCTGAATTCTAAACCCTAAACTCATTATTGAAAACCCTAAGCCCTAAAACGATAATATGGAGCTAAATAGTAGCATAAAGGATGAGTTCATAGCTCGTAGTCCCTTGCTTGATGCCAGTTTACTTGTTGATTGTTGAGCCTCTTTTGAGTTGAAATTGAGTAGTCTAATTAGCTTAATTTGAACCGACTTGACCTAGCTTGAATTGAATTTTGTAGATATTTGCCTTTAAAATTGATAGAATAATTAACATTTTCAAATGGGGATAGCAAACTTTAAACCTCCTCCCATCATAGTATTATAATTAAGCTCACAATAGCTAATTAATTTATTAATCATGCAAATTAATAAATAATAAAACTTTTAGTAAACTTAATTAATAATAAATTCTTTTTTTAATCCTATATAAATTAATTTTCAAATATTAATTATAATATAAAGTTACTAATTAATTAGCCATTAAAATGATAACTAAGGATGATTATGGTTGAAAATAATTAATACTTATATAGATTACTTACTAATTATACGATTATATTTTGTTTTCTATATAATTTCTTAAGCATCCTACTTTTTCTATTTTTGTAAATACAAATAATTAAGATAATTCAAATAAATATTATTAACTTCAATAAAAAAAAACCGAAAAGGGTCAAAAAGATAAATTAAAAAAATTAAGAAAAAATCAGAAAATTTGCTGTCGGCATTGCACGTTCATAAGATAATGATATTGACGAGCTCAATGCTTCTTAACAAACAAAATTCTTATTGCCATAATTTAACGTCCATTAAACTCTATTAAATATTAGAATTTTCAATCAACCAAACTTCTATTTTTATATCATAAGCTGAAGGTTCAGTCAACGTTGACATCAAATTATTTTAAA